GCCCAGTCAAGTACAGTCTTGTAAGGGAACTGGTGAACAGAATAGGTAGACATATTAATAATTATTGATCTGTCATCACTATACTGATAAGCTGAAGATTGTATGCTCTATTTCGAAAAAAAGCATACATTGTTGGATGAGTATAAATATGGTTTGATTATAGGCCGTTGTTAGAATTCAGTGACCAGGAGCAGAGATCTTCATCTTCACTGGTGGTATTTTCTCCTTGTGAATATTTGCTAGGACCTAATAAAGGTGGGTTTGATCATTACCTCTAACCTAAATAAAGAGTACTGGTGATTCTTTCCAAAGAGTAAAGATAACAAGAAACAAATCCTGAAAGTATATATACACTTTGTTACGCACAGCCAAGGCAGTGGCTAGAGCAGGGGTTCTCAATCTTTGTTGTACTGTATGGATTTTTGGACTTTTCATGAGCCCCAACCAGCACAATCAGTCATAAGGGATTCATAAGGAAATCCAAAATAAGGGTTGAGAACGATTGGTCCCGAGTGTCAGATTAGGACGGATCCAGATCCAGCTAAGAAGCTAACTGGGTGACATTGGACCAGTTACTGCCTCTTTTCCTAACCAACTCTTTTTGTGAGGATTAAGATAGATGGGGAAGGATAACACATGTTGCCTTGAGCTCCATGGAAGAAGCATGTGATACAAATGTAACAAAACATAAATGCAGGAATCAGATGGGGTCAAATCTTACTTGAACTTGGAACTGAGTCCCAAGCTGGACACTGAAGCTTCTGTCAATGATCAGAATTTCTCAGAGAAAAATGTGAAACTCTTACAATATCCTGTCACAATAATGACATAAATGCATTTTATAGCAACATCTTATTGTACAAGCGGGCAATGTTCCATGCTTATTCTCATCTGCCATGTTCTCCTCATTCTTCTAGATGACAAGATTTCATGTAGGCTATCACTTTGTCTCAGCAAAGACCTGCAAACAGGTTGTAGAAAGCTGGAATCACTTTCATCTGTTTTAGTCCATCTTCACTGCTCTGCTGTTTATGGAATTCAGTGACTCCTACGATTCACGAGGGTTGCCTTAGTTGGGATGGGGGCACCTTGCAAAAACTGCTACGAGTCCATAGGAATCAAAGCATAACATATGATATAGAGTGGTTTCCTTACTAAGACATAGTGTACCCAGTATTGTACTCAGATATATTATTATGTGAATGTATATGCAAGATATGCAAAATAATATGGAGAATATTCTGCATGTATTTATCTTCACACTAGATGATATACCATTGCTGTGTGCCTGTAGATCAAAAATAGTTATTACCCCACACAAGAAATAAAAGACAGATGTCCATGTGTAATATGGGTGGCAAATTGCTTCTAGAGGAAATGTTTTGTTAACAGTCCTTAGCACTTGAGAGAAATGTCTTCATGGAATCAAAGAACAAAATGGTCCAGCATAGTGATTCAGTATTAGTGGTTTAATTGTCACTAGGTGAAGATCCCTGGGGAGAAAAGAAATAAAAAGACAACAGGAAAACCTGACTGGTTGGAGTGAACAGTGACAATACCTGGAAATTTTAACAGCAGCATAGTTGAAATGCTAGAATATAAAAAATTTTGTGTCCTAAAAGAGAAAACAATCCTAAGTATATTTACTCAGAATTAAATCTCTGTGAATTCAGCAGAGCTTACTTTCAGGTAAACGTACAGAGGACTACAGGCTTCATAGTGCAACTCTAGACATGTCGACAAGCCCCACTGATCTCAGGTATCTATTTGGGATACAATCCTGTATACACATGGAAATAAAAACAAGCAAGCATTTTAAATGCTAACCATTAGGCACATGGGCCTAATAAACATGGGCCTAATTCACATCTTCAGATGCGTAAATCCATTTGAAACACTCAGTATTTCCAGTGAGATTAAATTCTGTTGGTAATACTTTTGAGTAGAGATGCACCCTGTGGTGTTATAAGTTGCATACCATTTTAGCTGAAGATCAGAAACAGTACCTTTGCAATTATGTAGAGTTTGAATGCTGGGAAGATATGTACCAAACAAATGGCTTGTAAAATCAGATATATTCACCTGAGCTCAAATCCCTGCTCAGCCATGGAAATTCATAATGGAGGCTATAGTAAACCACATCTTAAATATCTCAGCTACGTTGAAAACCCTAGAAGGGTCACCATAAGTCAATAACAAGTCGATGACACAACAACAACACACACGAAGACTAGAATGCAGTGGGTCGCTGGTATTATTGTCTCAGTTGTCAGTAGAAGCTGAGTTAACAAATAGTCCCCCTTATATGGAATACAGTAATCAGCTTGGAGGTTACAGTAAATTTCCTTCTAAAATGCATCATTGATTTTTGGTGCTACAGGTATTTACTCAAAGCCTCTCTCACTGTAACTATTTGCTCCCAAAAATACAAACAGCACCTTTGGGAGCAAATAGTAACCGAACAAGAGCAATTTGGGGGTGGCAAATCATATGGCTCTCAATCTGAATGAGGAGCACATTCTGATATTTCATGTTCAAGAAGTGGCTTTCCTTCAAAATAAAAGTGTCTAGATAAACACCAAAAAACTAACTAAATGTGTAGTTTAACCATCACACAAGTTTATTTATACATAAAATGTGTAACTTTCTACCTCAGGAGATTCCAGGAAGGCTTCCCTGGAATCTGACCAGACATCTGTTGATAAGGCAAAAGGTGGGCTAACCTAAGACATCTTGCCACCAGGATGAAGCAACAGATGTTGTTTTACTCACTCAAGTCAAGGTGCAGAACATCCAAAACTAGACAATTTATTTCTCACATACTGCAAAAAATCCCACAAGCATCTCTTCTCATAAGGGGCAGTAAAAACACAACAATACAACTGTTGCAAATTAAACAACCACTCCTACATTCTAAATTAGAAACATTAGATTACATTTACTTACAATTTGTAGCCCTTTCATGACCTATCCAAGGCAGCCCATCTCATTTTTAGTTTACTCAACTTCTAGAAGTAAGGCTGGCCATGTAAATAATATGTCTTGTCTGAGTATTATATTAATAAACACCAATTCCGACACTGGTGTTGGGAGAGCTAGGTGATGGCCCTAGACTACACTACCAAAACAGAAACCGAAAGTCTTGTAGCATGTTCAACGCAAACTAATTCTCAGTTTTTATAAATTCTCGTCGTCGTTTAGTCGTGTCCGACTCTTCGTGATCCCATGGACCAGAGCACGCCAGGCCCTCCTATCTTCCACTGCTTCCCAGAGTTGTGTCAAATTCATTTTGGTAGCTTCGATGACACTGTCCAACCATCTCATCCTCTGTCGTCCCCTTCTCCTCTTGCCTTCACACTTTCCTAACATCAAGGTCTTTTCCAAGGACTCTTCTCATGAGATGGCCAAAGTATTGGAGCCTCAGCTTCAGGATCTGTCCTTCCAGTGAGCACTCAGGGTTGTTTTCCTTTAGAATTGATAAGTTTCTTCTCCTTGCAGTCCAGGGGACTCTCAAGAGCCTCCTCCAGCACCACAATTCAAAGGCATCAATTCTTCGGCGGTCAGCTTTCTTTATGGTCCAGCTCTCACTTCCATACATCACTACAGGAAAAACCATAGCTTTGACTATGCGGACTTTTGTTGGAAAGGTGATGTCTCTGCTTTTTAGGATGCTGTCAAGGTTTGTCATTGCTTTCCTCCCAAGAAGCAGGTGTCTTTTAATTTCGTGGTTGCTGTCTCCATCTGCAGTGATTATGGAGCCCAAGAAAATAAAATCTGTCACTGCCTCCATATCTTCCCCTTCTATTTCCCAGGATAAACTCTAGTGAGCCCAAATGCTCTTGGACACAGGAAAGATTAATAAAAACGAAAACCCGATTAGTCTTAAAGGTGCTACAAGACTTCTGAGACAAACACAGATACCGGTAAGATTACCAGTCCCCAAATGCTTTCTGATATGCAATCAGTTGAGAATTTGTAGCCTGTTTATTTATCAAGCCCAAGTTCGCTCAACTTCCATATTCACTGAATGTCATATAATAATAACCTTTGAACTGCAGAGCTGGAAGGGACCCATCCAGTCCAGCCCCTGTCAAGGAAGCACAGTGGGGAATAGAACCCCCAGCCACGGGAGAGCTCCTATAAAAGACAGGAGGGACTGTATCCAAAACAAGGAAGGCCAAAGTTTCTCCAGGCAATTGAATAATTTGCATTTGGAGAGCGCAACTTAGACAAACGGACGACTTGCAGTTGATCTGAGGAACATTTTGGGGGGTGGGAAACATGAACAGCCGGTGCTTTACGAGGATCGGGGCCAACTTCCATCGCAGCATTTTAGAACCCCATTTAACCCAATGGCGATTCGGGCTACACGCTGGTGGTGGTTCTTCTACGGCCCATATAGGTTGGCGCAGGGATTTTGATCGCTTAGGACTTTTCCCTCTCAGTAAAAGCCACAGCTGTTTTCCTGTTCGTGGCGGGGGAGAAATTGATATTTATAAGGGATTCTCTGTGGGGCTGGCTGGAGAGTTTTTGGGAGGCGAGTATTCATTTGGATAAATAGGACTCTTTAAAGAAATGAACATATTTAGAAACGACCAAAAAGCACACCACTTTTCCACCTTCAATAAAATATTCCAGTGCAAAGAAAGCCTGCCTTTGTCGCCTCCTTGTGCCGCGGCTTAGAAATAAAGCGGCCGAGCTGCTCACATCCACGGACTTCAGTCAAGCTATGGGGGAAAGTCCTGGATGTCCCGCTACTCTTTCTTGCATCCCTTCGGGACAACGCATGCAAAAAAAAAGCCAAACGACAGGCTCAGAAAGTCTCTCGCAAACATCCCTTGTTGGTAACCGCTCTACATTTTGGCGTATCTCTACGTGTCCTTTCCCTTTCGACGGAAAAGCGTCAGTGGGCGCGGAAAATCGCGCTTGATCGACTTTATCCCCGGCCCAATCAGCAGCGAGGCCGAGCGGCGGCGCCCGGCAGCCCAGTGTTTTGGCGCCAGAGAGTAGAGACGTTTCCGGCTGCTTTCGCCGGCGGTCTTCCTGAGGGGTGGGGTGAGGGCTGCCGGTGGCAGGTGGCTTTCTCCTCGTGGGGAGCCGGGGTCTGGTTTCGCTTCGTCGGACGACAGTTATTCGTCTCATATCCACCAGGCTGGGTTACAGAGGGCCTGTTTTTTCCTTCCTTCCAGCCTTTACGTTATTCTCCTTCAGCAGCATCTTGTTGGACCGCGAGTCTCCCCCGCCCGGGTCTTTCTTTCGCCCTCAAGCCCCCTAATTCTCTACCTGAGGAGGCCATTCCTCTTGCCGCTCCCCCACCAGCCCCACAGCATTTCCAGGACATCCTCTTCCTCCGTCTGTCCTCTTCTCGGCCCCATCCGGATAGTTTAGTCACCAAGACACTAAAGCATCTCCTTCTACAGGTTGTGCCCATTCCCTGCCTCTCTCTCTCCCCACCCTTTTCCCCACCTCCCATTTACTACCGTCCCATCCACCCCGGAGTCTCCCTTTTTAGCGTGCTGTCATGGCTCTGCTGGCTGGTGTGATCCGTCGGCTGGATGAGACTGTGGTGAATCGCATTGCAGCTGGAGAAGTCATCCAGAGGCCCGCCAATGCCATTAAGGAAATGGTGGAGAACTGGTAATGTTTCGCTCTCTGTCCTCTAGAAGTGGTCATGGTTTGCGTTGTTGTAGTCATGCTTGGGGATGAAGAATAATGAACAGACAGAAGCTCGTTTTTTTTAAAAAAATCTCTCTGGTATGCATGATCAGAGCATATTGCTTTCCCCAGCCTACTGGATTACAAAAGGTGCAACGAGGCAGTGAGAAAAGCGTGTCCCTGATTGCAACAGAAGAGGTCACTTTGTTGGAAATGTTCTTCCTTAAAGTGACCATTCTGTCCATCACTGAATCTCTCCAGGCAGGCCTGAAAGAGTAGTAGCCAAAAAGGTCCGTCTTGGAAATAGATTAGGTGGAGTACTATTCATCTGTACATCATGTGATTACTGGGAAATGGCCTGCACCAGACTGTGCCATGGCTGGTCCAAAATGCGAGCTTTATGCCTCTGTGATCACTTTCTAAATTGAACCTCTCACTAGATTGGTCTAGCAATTGTTCCTTTCATTGAGAATGCAGAAATGTAGATGTGGGAATGTTGTCACATATTGAGCTTCCCTGGGGCACTCTTGGAACAACTTGGTTCTTTATCTTTGGAGTGTATTAATATTTCATTAGAAACACATCAAATGTATTTGACTATGGACATTTTCTGAATTATGGTAATCTGAGCATTTGTGTACAAATACTGTATACATGCAGAAGTGGGTGGATGAAAGGAACTTGTAGAATCGTAAATGTTGGGGAGAGTAAGCAGAGAGATTTGCTTCTCCACCTCTCATAGTAAAAATTAAGAATTTATTCAGTGAAGTGGTTTCTGGATGCACTAAAGCATGGTTCCCACCCAACCTTGGATAGGTAAAGGTAAAGGTAAAGGTTTCCCTTGACAATTTTTGTCCAGTCGTGTCCGACTCTAGGGGGCGGCGCTCATCCCGCTCTTCAAGCCATAGAGCCAGCGTTTGTCCGAAGACAATCTTTCCGTGGTCACATGGCCAGTGTGATTTAGACACGGAACCTTGGATAACCCAGGTGTTATTTGACTGCAATTCCCAGAAGCCTTCACCATCAGCTGTGTTGGCTGAAGGTTCTGGGAGTTGTAGTCCAAGAACACCTGGGTTACCCAGGGTTGAGAAACACTGCACTCACATCACATTTTGCATAATTAACTTGTGAAATTCTGTGCTACAAAGTGTAGTGCTGGCAACTAACTGAAATCACTTTTAAAATGAAATACAATTTAGTGGAAAATAAATTTCTGTGTTTTTAGCCGTAATAATAATGGAAATCTTGATACTTCTGAATACAAGGTGCTGTGAACAAAGTATAAACTAGAACAGCACTTTTCTGTAGGTCACACTGGCAAGTGCTGTAAAAGAATCCTAACTGCTCTTGGGAACAAAGTGAACAAGCAGATTTTTACACAACATTCAGTGAGCTAGAGTTATTCCTGCTTAGGACTTGTCCACACTATGATGTTGGTCCCTGGTCATTCTGATGTTGTTTTGGAGAATTTTAGACCACCCCAGTATTGATAGCCATGCTTCTCATATTCGTTGCTGGATATACTGGATTGCAGTGGGTCATCCTAGTACAATCTGTCCACACTCAATAGAAATTGTTCTCTGATGTCTCATTCCTAATGTAGATTGGCATTCCCCTTTTGCCTGTATTCTCTGCCTTCTCCCCACCTACTTCACTCTCTCCTCCCTTCTCTCGTCATTTTACCTGCTGCCCCCTTTCAGACTTCAGTCTTTTGGCCATAGTGCTTTCTAGGTTTTTTCCTTCAGTTTTCAATTTTATATTATGAGATAAAAGAATGCGTTTTTTTGAAGAAAAAAAAAAAAGAACTAGGAACAGCCCTTTCTCTACCTTTTTTTTTCTTTCATCCCTTTTCTCCTTCTTTTACCCACCCACCCGACTCAAATGTTCACCTTTTGGCCTCAGTGCTTTGTAATTTTGTAAAAACAATTATTTTACATAAAAATAAAAAAGCAGAATGCAGGAATATCTGATATCTTCTCATTTTCGATATCCGAACAAACCAAAACCAGGAGTGGCACTAAGTCATGGAAAGGTGACCCCTAAGGAAACATGTCCCTAAGGAAATCAACAAATCGCACTTACATTACCTGTAAAGTGTATGTATAATTTGATGACATCAGCATATCAATATGATACTCAATCCCCATGAACAGATTCTGCACTGAAGCAAATTGGAGTAAAGCAGAACAAAATGTCACCACCACCTAGCAGTGGTTTAAAAAAATGTGAAAAGCAAGGGCTTTTTGTCTCACTTTGACCCTGTTGACACTAGTTTCAGCCCTGTGTTGTCTAGACACCAAGATGTGATATTAGGATGATTCAAGGAAAGTTGAATAAATGTGCAGTGTGGATGGGCTCTTATCTTGTTCTCAATGTTTTTAAGGATAGCACCTCTTTGTGGCATTGACATAAAAGGACAGGGGGACAGGCAGATTGGCAGTGCCTTTGGGGTTTGCAGAAAAGGACTTGGGCTTGCATGTGTCCCATGGGACTTGTGTTACCCACTTCTATATTGAACTAAGAGCTAGAAAATTGGAAATGAGAGTAAAGGATTATGTTTTTCCATCTTTAAAGGAGGAGAGAGGACCACTTGGACTATTGGACTGTTAAAGGGGGAAGGGTATTAAAAGTTCTAGTCATCTTAAGTCATCAGTGTTTTTCTCCATTGTGATTACTGAATTTCTGTAATTTTACTTTGTTTGAATGAAATACTTATTTGTATATTTTGCCTAAATCTCGGTGTGAAAAAAAATCAGAAAGTTGCATACATAGAAAAATAAGTGAGACATGTGATGTACAGTAACACTTTGCTGCACAGATAAATGTAAATGTTATCTTGTTCAAAATTGCAAAATTGTGTCACAAGATGCTTACATCTGTTTTTTATACTTAGTTTGGATGCCAAGGCTACCAACATCCAAGTGACAGTGAAGGATGGTGGTTTGAAATTAATTCAGATCCAAGATAATGGTTGTGGAATTAGAGTAAGTAAATCTACTTGATCAAACTCTATTTACTTTAAAAATGCAAATAATTATTGGGAGAAAACTGATTTGTGCCTTCTTCCTTCTGTAGAAAGAAGACTTGGATATTGTGTGTGAAAGATTCACTACAAGTAAACTACAGACTTTTGAAGATCTAGCTAATATTTCTACATATGGTTTTAGAGGCGAGGTATGTTGTTGAAATGTGTATCATTAACTTGTCTGCTTTGCCATTCTTTCCTTTTTCTCTCCTGTTCCTTCTTAGTGCTCAAAAAGAAAGAACTAGAGTACAATGGTGCCTCAACTTACGAACTTAATCCGTATTGGAATGGTGTTCGTAAGTCAAAATATTCGTGAGTCGAAGCACCATTTCCCATAGGAATGGATTGAAAATCAATTAATCTGTTCCAGCTGAAGAAAAAAATCACAGAGCAAGCCCGGTTGGAAGGCGCTCTGTTGCTGAGGTTTAAGAAGAAGAAAAAACACTCCAAAAATAAACAGCAAAGCCACCAACAACACAGCACAGAAACATACCCACCCCAGCCAAAACCCACCCAGAACAGTTTTTTTAAAAAGAGAAAACAGCAGCTTACCTTCCTGCAGACACACACACACACATGCTCACTCCGAAGCAGGAGGCAGCTCCAAGCCAAGGATGACACTCTTAACTGTGGAAAGTGAAAGAGCTATACAGTAGTGTAAAGCAGCCTTGTTGCCATCTACAGTTAGAAATCTGAATTGCCCACCTTTTTCCCCTGCCTTTTTTCTGTTTGCAAGTGGAAGCTCCATTCGCAAGTCAAAGCAAAATGTTGCGACCAGAGCTGTTTGTAAGTAGGGACGTTCGTAAGTCGAGGCACCACTGTATTAATTACAGGTATCCCCTTGTTGTTTAGCAGAAAAACCAGTTGGTAGCTGTGCAGACTACCCTGTTTCCCCGAAAATGAGACTTAACCTGAAAATAAGTCATGAAATATGTTTTTTTCAGGATGATCGTAATATAAACCCTACACCAAAAATAAGACCCAGTTAAGTGAAACCCCACTCTCCACCATTGTGCAGCAACCAGAAGATGATGATATGACTGTATAGATTGTTGTACATGAAAAAAAATTAGACATCCCTTGAAAATAACCCCAAATGTGTTTTTTGGAGCAAAAATCAATACAGGACCCTGTCTTATTTTCAGGAAAACATGGTACATTTTGGATATGTAAGCATGTAGTCAACAGTGCATTATATAAACACAGCTTTTGCATATAGCTATTTATGATAGCTCAGTTAAACTAAGGTTATGAGAAAATCCTAATTATTTGGTACTCTTTTCATACCTTCTGTCTTAATTCAGTAATCTTCAGTGTGTCTCTATCTCTTAGTTGCTTGAGGTTAAAGACTTAAATAGATGAGGATCATAGTTTAATACAAGCTTCCAACAGATTTTAATTAATTAAAATTAAGTGCGGTTATGTGTTGTCAAGTCATTTCTAGCTTGCAGCAATCCTACAAATGAATAATCTCTAAAAGGTCCTATCATTAAAACCCTGTTAATGTTTTTGCTGTAAAGCAGTCGTTCTCAATCTTTTTTGGCCACAGACATAAAGACAATATGAAAAAATATAGGTTGAATCAGGATGGTATAAGTCGCATAATAAACCTTATTAGGTGGTGTGTTAATAATTGTTTCCGGTCTGTGCCCCCTTCAAATGTGCCTGAGGGCCATATGGCCCCTGTTGAGAATGGCTGAAGTAAAGACTGTAGCTACCTTTATTGAGTTAAACCGCAGAAGCCTCTGTGCTGCAGGGTCAGAAGACCTGCAGTCATAAGATTGAATCCACATGATGGAGTGAGCTCCCGTCACTAGTCCCAGTTCCTGTCAACCTAGCAGTTTGAAAGCATGTAAAAATGTAAGTAGATAAATAGGTACTACCACAGTGGGAAGGTAACTGTGTTCCGTGTCTAGTTGCGCTGGCCACGTGACAATGGAAACTGTCTACGGACAAAATGCTGGCTCTATGGCTTGGAAACGGGGATGAGCACCGCGCCCTAGAGTCGGACATGACTGGACTAAATGTCAAGGGGAACCTTTACCTTTTTATATTGTGTTATGTTTATCTCCTTTTCCTATTTGCCTTCTACTTTTCCTATCATTACTGACTATTAAATGATATAATTAAAGTGAAAAATAAAACGGTCCCAGGATGCACAACCGTAGAATTACCAAATTTTAGCTATCTAGATCATGATCATGAAGATATGGTAGACAGACATGTACACAATAACATGTTTTTTTTATTATTGTGCATCACAGTTTTCCCTTGGAAAATGAAGAAATGTGCCAGGGATACTATCTGGCCTCTAGATGAAGGATGAAGTCTAGGAAATGCTGAATCTTTTTAAAAAAGGATTCTGTTCCCATATGTTTGTCATATAACTCTGGTGCATATTTCACAGTAGTTTAATACTTCTGACTAGAAAACCTTTCTCAATTAGATTTTGAATGCTTTATTTAACATTGTAGAGAAAATGCTTCATACTAATTAGAGACCTTCAAAGGTCAATAACAAATACAGTGGTGCCTCGCTTAATGGGCGCTCCGTTTAGCAACGAAACCACATAGCGATTAACTTTTTGCGATCGCAAAAGCGATCGCATTGCGATGTTTCCTATGGGTTGTTTTCGCTTTGTGATGATCGGTTCCCTGTTTCGCTTACTGATCATCGCAAAGCGATGATTTTTTAACAGCTGATTGGCAGTTCCAAAATGGCTGCCGGGTAAAAAAATGGTCACCCGCTGTGTTTTCACGCGGATTCCTCGCTTTAGAGGCAGTGAAAATGGCTGCCGTATGGAGGATCTTCGCTTTAAGGTCAGTTTTTTGCCCATAGGAATGCATTAAACAGGTTTTAATGCATTTCTATGGGCTTTTTAAAATCGCATAGCGACAAAATCGCTTAATAGCGATTTTTGCTGCATGGATTAATGTCGCTATGCGAGGCACCACTGTACAGCACAATAGTTAGATCCTTTGAAGGCTGGTGCTCTGTGTCACATATTAAATTCATTTATCCATGTTATAAAATTACATTCTTCCTTTCTAGGCACTGGCTAGCATCAGCCATGTTGCACATGTTACTATAACATCTAAAACAGCTGATGGAAAGTGTGCCTACAGGTAAGTATATTCAGTCTTTAAATATGGCAAGCATTTAGGTGTATTAAGGTATACTAAGCATTTAGGTGTGATTGATGTTACTCATATTTAAAATGTATTTCATTACAGCAAGGATTAATTTGGGAAAAAGATGCAAAGCACGGAAGCACAGTGAAATAAAGTAGTTGAGAGCTAATGGTAGTGGGATTGTTTGCAGTTAATCAATAGGGCTTGCTAATTGCTGTTTGACAATATCCCCAAGAAAAAGGCTTTTTAAAGTAAAAAAAAAGTAGATTTTATGGCTGGAATCCAGCAGCATAATTTATGCAACTGCACATCAGCCACAGTGGGTTTTTTTTTCCAGATTGCCCCCCCCCAGTTTTTCCCCTAAAGGTCTTGAAGCTCCCATAGAATCTCCTTTGTCATTGGGAAGCAGCCTGAGAGTCCATCGGGAGAGTCAGAATGTTTTTATTTGCAAAAAATGCTACTGTGGCTGATGACATCAGAATTATAAGATGTAACTATGAGAACTGAATTGCAGCCTGTGATTTATTGAAATTCAGGCGTCAATTTGTACTTATCTGGCTTGGTGTTTGGTTTATGGGGTATAACATTATATTTGTTTGTTTGTTTGTTTGACTTCTGTGCCACCCATCTGGCTGCCAGGACCACTCTGGGCGGTCTACATATTAAACAAATATGACAAAAACAATTCAAAGCAATAAACACAATAGTTATAAAATCAAAATTTAACATAAACAATGACAAATTAAGTAATAAGTAAAATAATATAAAATAATATAAAAACAAGATGACAGGAATAATAATGTAAGTAGGACAAATTACTGTATTAAGGTCCAGGAAGATTTGTTGAAAAAAACAAATTTTTGACAATCACTTGAGAGCAAGCAATTAGCATGCCATTAGCTTTGACCCTCAGTTACCCTGTACTGCTACTTTGGAGTAAAAAAAAAAGTGGCCAAAATTCTATTGATTAGTTATTCCTGTGGAAGGTAAATTGCATAGCTTGGAGCAACTTCGGGCTATCTGTGAATGAGTCCCAGCTTAGATTTTTAGGGACACACTGGGTTCTGACCCTATGTCTGTCAACTTTTACTTTTGTTTCTTGCTTTTCCTTTACAATTTTAAGCTTTTCTTCCATCATACATAGAAATTTTTCTTTTCTGTTTACTACAGGAATTGTCTTTCTACATTCTTCCCTAATAATATTTCCGGTTTCAATCTACAGTTCTTGTTCATGGTCACTTAACTTTAGTAATGCAAATCTGTTCCTTATGTAGACTTTAAATTAATCAGGAATGTTGTTTAAATTATATTTTGGCACTAGGATTCTTTTAGTGTTCTTTTTCAACTTTATTCTAATGTTACATATTATCAATTCAATACCACAATCCACTCCTGGTCTTGTTTTGGCAGAGAGAACACAGCTTATTTTTCTCTTGCTCCCAATTATGTCATGTATTTGCTTTCTATATTGACCATGTTCACATTTACAGCCATCTGTTTGGTTGCTTGAAATACATATTTGCTATAAACAGATTGTTGGCTTCCCAAAACTCTATTTCTCCTGCTTCATGTCTGCCCCTTAGGCCAAATTTTCCAGCAGCATTTATTTCTGCTTTGTTTCCCTACTTTTCTGTTGCTGCCACTCATGACTCCAAGCATGTCGTATTATGGTATGTGATCACTTTCCTCTTGGATGCATGCATAAAAGCTTTCAGTTTCTTCATCTTCAGTATCAGTTGCTGGAGGATAGACTTGAATATGGTTATGTTGATAGGCTTTCCATAGAGTGATTGATATTATTGAGTCAGACCATCCATTATAGCCCCCCACTTCTTCTGCTACATCTTGCCTCAGCAAGAACCACAACATTTCTTCTGGATTTGTCATTTTCAGAGTAGAACATTTTGCAGTTGTGTGAAAATATCCCACTGCAGTCCACTTTAGTTCAGTCACTCCAAGCACTGCAATGTTTATACATTTCATTTCTTGCTTTATGGTTTTAGTTTACCTTGGTTCAAACCTCTCACATTCCATGTTCAAATAAGGAACATTTAGACTACTAAAATATAGAATAGAAGCAATAGGAACTGTGCAAAAGGAACCTTAATTCTGAAGCACTTGCATTGATATAAGCATAAGAAATATTAATTCTACAATGGTTGTTGATATGTTAGGGGATAAAAGGTAGTGTCTGGAAGGTTCACCAGTCTAGGCAACCTAGGTGAGAGAGTACTGTACTGTAATTATTTCTTTTCAGCATTGAGAAATTGCATCATTTAGCCACTGGAGGTCACTCATTGCATCATTCTGTTGCAAAGAAAAACTAGTTTGAAGGAAGGGCTACAATTAAATGTTTGAATGATGTGGTTATTTAAATATGTTTTTGTATGTAGTATTTATATTTAAATTAAAAAGGATGTTTTTATTGCTTGTTGCTTAGTTTTGTCTCATATTGTAAACTGCCCAGAATGGCCTTTGGCTAGATGGGCAGCATATAAACAAACAGGCAAATTACAGTTGGGATTTCTTTGTTTATTGTTTGGGGGGAAAAAACAGTCTAAGATTAGTAGTATGTTGAAGTCTGTTTTAGATTAAATCTATTCTCTACAACATTCCTAAAGTGTTTCTTTTAAACTATTAATCCTCCTTGAGTAACATAACAGGACCTTTCCTTTTACTGAACAGAAATAGCAGATGTTTTGTAAGAAAGTCACACATTTGCCTATGGGACTTACTCCCACATATGTCTGTCTAGAATTGCAGTTTAGGAGAGCAATTTTAACCCTAGATGTAAGGTCAGGAGTGTAGGATTTGGGAAGGAACTGCCTCATTGCAGCAGGAAGCAGCTGTGACAGCTGCAGGCTTATCTCCGTTGACAGTCCTGTTGTGCATATGGATAGCTTGACTTGTAACAGCTGGTATAAAAGTTTTATGAGAAGCAGTTTCAGAAGCAAGATAACTCTTGGATCCACTAGTTTCAGAAACAGGATAGCTCTGGATCTGCCTGATCTTCCAGTGGCCCTTAGGATAAGGTCTCTCACACTGCACCAGCCTGAAGCTGGGTAACACACACAGTACAAACATATGGAGAGAATGGGTGGTGGTGGTAAACAGCCTCATTTATGTCTGCTGCATTACTTTCTTTTTGACTAAAAAAAATATACTGGTCACAACAACTATATTTTGTGGCAACTGATACATGGAACAGCTTGCCTCACCTGTTTGTTTGTTTAAAAAACTCCATAAACTGACTAGAACATTGGTTTCTAAATGAAGATTGTGCTCCTCTCGGAGAGGGTGTGAAGATGTGCCAAAGGGGGCATAAAGCATTGAGGTTTTTTATTTTTTATCTTAAATTGCAAACTAAATTTCTTGTTGAAAAGAAGTTTCAAAAGACAGCAAAACAAAAATGAAGAGCTATTAGGATTTCTAAAAAATTCTGTAAAAAGGTAGAATATTGCAATTGATGGTGAGTAGACATGGGCTATTTGTATTCATGTCCCTGGGAATATGAATATGAATCACAGCACCACAGGTGCCACAGAGGCCCATTCCCCCCCCCGAACTGGCCAGTCCACTCACCAGTTGCCACACAGTACTGGGGTCCTTCGTTTTCATCCCACCAATCTGGGAAGGAGCCCAACTGGCACTTTCTCCCCTTCCTGTGTAGCCATCTACTCTGGCAAGGAGGCAGGAAAGGGAATCTCCCCATTCAGCTGATGAGTGGTCGGATGTGTGGGGAGGCAGGGAAGTGCTGACTGGGCTCCTTCCCAGATTGGTGCGACAATGAAAGACCCCAGTGCTCTGTGCGACCAATAAGTGGACCAGCTGGTTCAGTGGGGATGGAATGAGCCCCTGTGGCACCTGTGGTGCCTTGAATGGTATTCGTATTCCCAGCCTTATGAACATGTATAACCCATATCTAATGGCGAGACCTCAGTATTTTTTCTTAAAGCTCTGTTTGAAATAATCCTTGTGGAACCATCTGAATGGCTGATCATCCAATTTTTTGTTTTGCTTTTAGGGCAAGCTATTCTGATGGAAAATTGAAGACTGCTCCCAAACCTTGTGCTGGAAACCAGGGAACTCAAATAACAGTAGGTTAATTTTTCAGCTCTCACAGTGTAAAAGTTAATTTATTCTGAGCTAGTCCTATATTATTCTCTCATAGTAGCACTTTATGAAAACAAGAAGAACTATGCTTGTAAAACTGTAGACTTATCAACCTTATTATTATGGCTAACTAAGTTAGGGAAAGCCAAAACAGGACATTAATTAATGTTGCTGCCTTCTCTTACTCATGTTTTGCAACAACTGCTATTCAGTGACATACCATATAGTGGTATGCTACCTAGCATTGTATACTGAGAGTATGTAAATCAGTCTCTATAGGCAATTTGGAAAATCTTGCCTTGATAAATAAAATTAAGATGTGGACCTGCCAAAATATCTAATCCTGTTTTAATGTCTGCCCTGAATCTCTAAATACCTGAAGTCACAAAGCAAAGTATATAATACCCAAAGTATGTAAAGAGTGTCTTTCCTGTACTAAGTAATGAGCGAGCTAACATTTACAAGCAGAAAGAAGGTTTTTGGGTCAAATAATTTGAATCCTGGCACCTGTTTTCCAAATAAATCTTTGTAGCCTTAGCATCTCTTTGGCATAGACTTTTTTCCCAATGGATACATGTCTGATTGCACTAATTTAGAACAATTTGTGGAATTATTACTGCTTTTAGTATCATGTAGCTATTTTGTGGAGTCTTGATAACGGGCACAGTGTAAATATGTCATTGAAGCTACCAACATGAATTTGACCCAACTCCGGGAGGCTGTGGAAGACAGGAGGGCCTGGCATGCTCTGGTCCATGGGGTCACGAAGAGTCAGACACGACTTAATGACTAAACAAAAACAACAGTGTAAATATGCATTAATTGTAGTCCTGGAACTTCATTTAATGTTGCATTTAAAAATTCAGTCCTCTTGGATGCTACATTTTCCAGTGGGAATTGTGTCAGAGCTGAGATTTTACAGTAAATCAACCTGGATACAAATATGTATTTCACTATCAACTAAAAGGTTTTTATTCTCTGATACTTTTAATTGTGAATCTCTGAAAAGATGGTACAGTGGTGCCCCGCATAGCGACGTCAATCCGTTCCGGATTAATCGTCGCTATGCAAAAACATCGCTAAACGGAACGGAAAACCCCATAGGAACACATTAAACTTAGTTTAATGCGTTCCTATGGGGCCCTAAACTCACCGTTCTGCAATGTTCCTCCATAGCGCCGCCATTTTTGCGCCCTCGGTAAGCGAGGGCAGGGCGCGAAAATGGTTGCGGCGGCCATTTTGGGCGTCCGGCGGTCATTTTGGAACCGCCAAACAGTTGTTAAAAAAACATCGCAATGCGAAGATCAGTAAGCGAAACGCTTACCGATCGTCGCAATGCGATTTTAGCCCTATCTAAACATCACAATGCGATCGCTTTTGCGATCACAATTGCGACGTCGCTATGTGGATTCGTCGTTAAACGATGCGCTCGTTAAGCAAGGCACCACTGTATTTGTATTTCCAATGACTTGTGATAATGTCAAAAGATACTAGATCAACGCATTTGGGTGAGGATAGTCAGGGTGAATCTGAGTGTAGACCCTTTTTGATATATGTAGGAATATTTTTGCTATATGTTATTTTCGCGCACCCCCAGTGACTCGTGTGTGTTTTGCCTTTCACACAAGTTCACCTTCGGGCACAACTTCTTCTTTTCCCCCTTTTCGCTGCCACCTGAGGATATTATCCTCACTAGATCAATTATGAGTCTCACACTCTTCCTGCCAAATAACACAAGGTTTATTTAAGGATTAATAAGTGAATCACAGAATGAAAATCATGCGTGTTCTATTATCATTCATGCATTAAACGTGGTGCCCCGCTTGATGACCATAATCTGTTCCAGCAAAATCGCTGTAAACCGAAATCGTCAAGCGAAAAAAAGAACCCATTGGAATGCATTGAAAACTGGTCAATGTGTTCCAATGGGGAGATACGTCATCGTCCAGCAAAGATTGCCCATAGAGAACCGCCAATCAGCTGTTTTAAATCGCTGTCTTCCGAAGCAGGGGTCCAGAAGGCAGCCATTTGCGAAGGGAGGGAAGCCATTTTGTGGAGCCCGGAAAAAACATCGTTTAGCGAACAAACAGGCTCCTAATCGACGTCAAGCGAAAAAACCCCATTGGAACCATTGTTTTGGGATCGCAGTAGCGATCGCAAAAAACTCATCATAAAGCGATTTTGACATCATGCGGGATAAGCGTCAAGCAGGGCACCACTGTATATTCTGCCAGTCTATGTACTTCTAATTCCTTTTAACTCTTTAATATTCTCTAACACATCAACTGTCCCATTTCTAGTCTAAACACTTCTCAGTCTTCTCTCTGTCTAAACGCTTCACCATCTTTTCCTTAACTGACTCTCTCCCACTCTAACTGCCTCTCTGGCACTCCCAGTTCCCTTGACTCCGCCCCGCCTGTCCTGTCATACGCTCCTGCACTGGAGCTCTAAAATGACTGACAGGAGTGACGTGTGGGCTGTCTGCCACAGTTATTAAGGAGAGGGTATCTGTGGCATATCATATTTTTCCTGCAACCTATGTTTGAGTTTATGGGTGGGTTTGAGCATGTTTATGAGCAGTCCGGTGAGATTACTCATAAATGTGGTTGAACCTTTTTTATGAGTTCAAATGTAGGTTGCAGAGAAAATATGAAATTTCATAGATATCCTCCCCCTGGTTATGATATTGATCAATAGATATATGTAATAATATCTAAACATTCAAATTATATTTGGGTTGAACCGAGACAGCACAGTAATATATTTCTATAGTAAAGTAGAAAACTGTTACCTGATTATTAGAACAATAAGGCACACAGATTAAGTATATGCATTTAATGTAGTTAATATATTTAAATTCTTTTATAACTTTTTCATATTATAGTAAATCATATTTGAATGTTTCATATTTGTAAATGAAAAAGAAGACCCATAAAAGATGGAAATTTTGCATTAAAATATGTGTTATAATGGCTGAAATCCTGTTGTGTAATGTACACATACAGAACGGTGATGATATCACTAGCAGGGTTATTTTCAGTAATTAAAAGCTTCCTATATTGTCTCTCAGATTTTCCAATTCCTGTGTAATCCCTTTCATAGCATGGAAATCATGGGAACTATAGGATGGAAGTAGGGAGTCCTTCCTTGCTGAAAATTTCCTGCTGGTAAAATCAATTGACAATTACAATTTTTGTTAATCAAAGACTCCTTTGTGTCCTTCAACAGCATCCATGGCTTCCACATGATGAAAAGGATAACATGGGAGTCAGAAAAAACTATGGGAAAGAAATAGAATGTTTTTGCTTACTGAGAATCACCCACTTCCTTCCATAGGCTAAATTATTTCTTATTTGTATCTCAGCCAGTAGCCTGCAATGAGACAAAAGGTTTCTAGATCTAGACTTCAAGGAAAGCAGCTGGAATGATCAGAGAATGGGGAGCCAGATGTTGCTTCTGGAGTCCCTTCTTCCATTTAACATGCAGTTGAACCTGAAAGCTGACAGTGGAGAACATTTTAAATTGTTCTTGCAAAAGTCTACACTCTATGTGTTAGGTTTTTTTCTGTCTCCCAGCAAAGAAGGTACTGTGAAGAAAATTTCTCTTTTGAGGTTTTTGTTTTTAAATTGACTTTTTAATATTTCTTTGTAGATTGAAGATCTGTTTTACAATGTAGCCACTAGGAGAAAAGCCTTTAAAAATCCTAGTGAAGAATATGCAAAAATACTGGAGGTTGTTAGCAGGTAATCTGTTGTTTTAAAACATGGGGTGGGGATTTTCCATGATTTGTTTCATGCTAAATTGTGAATTTTATTGTACTTTTGTCCAGGAATGACATATTTCATAAATTAAGAGCCCAAAATAGCAAGAGAGGTGCCTTCCTGCTGATGTCAGTATACTGGCACAGTAACAGCTGTATCACAGTATTATGCTTAAGAAGAACTCCACTGAAGACAAATAACACTTGTTTTATCTAACATTCACATGACAATTGAAGAGGGGTCCTAGAATTATTACTGCAAAATTTTGAAAGAGAATAGTACAGATTCCATTCTGCTTATCAGCAAGAAGTAGTTCTTCTGTTCCCAGAGTTGTAAATCCAACAAAAGAAAGCCATGGAGTCTTTGCCAAGATGAAAATGTGTACTTGTGAATCACAAGACTGACAGCAAATGAATAAATGGTTCCCAATCTGTTCTTGCTTAATTTTAAATTAAAGATGTCATGCTCCAGATATTGTTGGACTGCAATTCCCACATGCCTCACAATTGACTGTTCTGGCTAGGACTGATGAGAGTGTAATCCAGCAATATCTGAATGTCCACAAGTTTCCTGCCTTTTTTTCAGGTTTTACAAGAATTGTGTTAGCACTCCACTTCTCCCCTTCCCCAGTATAATGTGATAAAGCCAGATGAATACTTTGAAGCTGTTAATGTTCAGAATATCTTCACTGTGCTACACGGGCTGCTGTTTTTGGTAGCAGGGAAACCCAGAGTATGATGATACCATGGCACACACTTGTTTTTGCTATGTGGTAATGGAAGAGTTGTTATATATTGCTGTTTCTTTTAATGTCAGTCATGTGCCTTTATTTTGAAAAACAAACAGCTTGGTTAGTTTACGCATGCTCCACTAGTTAATGGACTAGTTTAGTTTGATGAGTGGTTGGAAACCTGTCCGTTCCTGTTCTGCATACTGTAGCATTATGTACATTTCTTTCTTCTCCAGGTATGCCATTCACAACTCTGGCATCTGTTTTTCTGTTAAAAAGGTGAGTAAAATGTATTCACAATTGCAAAAATTGAATTCACATCATTGGGGTACTCAGCAATATCATTCAAAATAAACCATTTAAAAATATATACTTTTTTAAAACAAAAAAATGTAACAAAACTAGCATAACATTTAGAGATTCAGATATTCTGTTGTGATCACAAAGTTCTTTGCCATGGTCTTTATTTATTATTTTATTTATTTATTTAACTTATATGCCGCCCACTCTACCCAAAGGTCTCTGGGCGGCTTACAATTAAAATTCAACTAAAATACAATAAAAGATAAAATGATTAAAATACAATTAAAATTGCCATCAGGACCCACAGTTGATGTTATTTCAATTAAAAGCCTTCTGGAACAGGAAGGTTTTGACTAGGCACCAAAATGTCATCAATGGCGGCGCCAGAAGAATTTCGGTCGGGAGGGCATTCCATAGTCTGACAAGTGAGTCTTGTGCCTGTGCAGAGACTCTCGTGTAATATTCTATAGCTGAGCAGCCTTTTAGCAGCAATGTCACCAACTGTGCTTGTGTAGGTTTACCCTGCTTGTCCTTGTCAGTTTCATTTAACTCTCTTTCAACTGTGGTTGCAGTGCCTCTGCTGCTCTGCACCTCATTGCTGTACTGTTAGTATAGAATGAGAATTCCTTTAGGTAGGTAGGTAGGTAGGTAGGTAGGTAGGTAGGTAGGTAGGTAGGTAGGTAGGTAGGTAGGTAGGTAGGTAGGTAGGTAGGTAGGTAGGTAGGTAGGTAGATAGATAGATAGATAGATAGATAGATAGATAGATAGATAGAACCTTTATTGGCATAAGTAAAAATTGGACATAATCACAGTGGTTTGTTAGGTAACTACATATATAGGCATCAAGAGGGCAGAGAACTGTTAGACATCTTTAAAGGGACAACACTTCGTCTCCTAAGAATAGTATCAAGGAAGTCTATGACTCTTTCTACAATGTCAGTCATCTTGGCCATCACCATATAGCGAACTTTATCCAGATCTGACTTCCCTTCCAGCTTTAATAAAATTGGGGCTATTAACCTTGATCGGCTGATCAAGTGAAGTATTGCTGAAGTAGTGAACAGAGGAGCTCCTGCAGTTCACAAATGATCCCTACCTATTTTTATTGTCTTGTTATGAACCAGTGCCCCCCCTCAAATAGATGTATTCAATTTTCCAGAGAACCACTACGTACCATCCCTACTGCACAATAATTGGTCGTGGTCAGGGTTCCTTAGGAGACAGATTTCTCCTGAACTAAACAGACACTTTGCTTTGTATCTTTCCTCATTACCTGTTAAGAACCAAGGTAATGGGCAAGATTCAGAAAAACAATGCAGATTTCACCTCACTTGCCTTATAGTAGCTGTGTCCAGTGTGGTTTGCAGAAGCTTTGCTCTCTTAATGCTTCTTTCTACATCTCCCCTCCCACTAGGAGCTGCTCATGCAGTCCCAATGTCAAATTTATCAGCCAGACCTTCTCACACTTTGTTTCATGGCATAGCATACATGCCTGTATCACCAGTCTCCTCAGAGGCATAGCATATTTTAGAGGCATTTTTTAAATCCTTTACTTATTGGTCTTATGTGGCAGAGGGATAATCTTTCAAATCATTTGTGAAGATTCTCACTCATCCAGGTGAGGTTATCTGGAAGGTGAGTCATGACAACTCGACTTATTTTTTATTGGGTTGAAATGTTTGAAGTCCACTTGCCATGACTCAACTTCCAGATTTCCAATCACTTCTGGTTTTCATTAATGCCATTTTTTCCTGTACCCACTGTTTGCAGTGCCCTATACTTACTTTACCTTCTGTTCAACAAAAAACTACCTCATTTCTCTTGGCAAGTTTTACCTGACTTGTTTCTGCTCCTACCAGCTACAGAGACTGGACCTGAAATCACTGTTTATGCACACTTAGATCTTCATTTTTAGAAGGATTAGGAATCTGCAACACCCATCAATCATCATAATCATTGTTATCTTAGAGCTGAAAGGGACCCTGTGGATCATCATGTCCAGCCCATGTCAAAGAGGCTGAACCTCTGGCTCTGCAACCAGATAACTAAGCCACTGAGCTCTGTTTCTTACATGATCCTGGTCTCTCTCTGTGTTCCCCAGTCTATCAAAAGGACCTGTTTAACTTATTGCTATAGGCTGTCTCCATGTTAATCTTCATAATGGGTTTTCTGGTCTCCATCATGTCAGCTCGTGGAGTGGGTGAACTCTAGATCAGTGTCCTTCATTTTCCACAGAGATGACTGGACTACATTCAGAATCTCCTTCCAAAGGTAGTATCACGTTTCCATTTATCATAGGACCTTTTTCTCTCCAATTCAACACCCAACTTCTTTCTTTACTCCCGAAATATGTGTTGGTTATCCTCATTTTACTTTCAGCAAACAGTCTCCCTGTGCAAGTTCCCTCATTTCTTTGTCAAACAAGGAGAGGTATGAACAAGGACCTCTTGGTTGCCACACAGATTTGCAAACTGCATAGTGGTTATGATTTCATCAGCATATCAGCTGATAAACCCTCAGGTTCCTGAACCTCTGCCATGTCATTCCATCAAGGCTGTGGCCTTCCTGCAAGATTTATCTTTACCAGGTATTTACCAGGTAACCACTTGTTCTTAGCCTTCTACATTTGTTGAGCACTACAGACTGGGCATCTGTTCTCAGAAAGGTGTCACTGGAGTATTGTAGAGCTGTCCTGCCTGCCTCTTGTAAGTGAGCTTGTTAGTTAACACTTTTGTGTGACACACAGAGATCATGAGTAAGAAGAAGAGGCCTCTTATCTGTAATTGTGATTCTTTTAGTGAATTGTAACACCCACACAATCTACCTGCCTCTCTTTAGCCTTCAGATGCCTCTGTTTTTTCCCTTGCAGTGAGTTAGGAATTGAGAAGGATGAGCAAGGGGACACCAGCATGTGCAGTGTCAACAAGCATTGGGGTTTTTTGCCAAAGGACTGCTCAGTCAAAAAGATGTTCTATGGGAATTTATGAGCAGGTGCAATATCAAATTGTTGAGTGCACAAATGACTACTCAGTTACAGATAAGCAACCTGCTCTTGCATGTTTTGTGTTTGTTTTTTGCTATGAGATACATAGACCAAAATCCTGTTGTTTAGCTACACAAGTGATATAACTTTTGGAGGCAAATTGCCCCGTGTTAAGAGATTGCTGTAAACATTATCAGCTGTATGAATCATACAATTTAATATAACTTGGAGCAGTTCATCCCCACGTTACACTATTTGTGCTATGTCAGCATAACTTGGTAAGAGGATTTGGGCCATTGTTACAAGCAAGCCTCGATTACAAATTCATGTCTTTGCATATTTGCCTGGAAATAGGTTTCATTGAACAGACTATATAATTCTCGTAGGTTAACAGGCAGCATGCCTGTATACAATATAATAAGCAAAAATATTGGGTAAGAGTTTACCAAAATTCCCTTTCCCTTTTGCCCACTCACATGATATTTTCTGCCAGAAAGCATCTGTTTAGCATGAAGTGGAAAATACATGGCCCATTTCCCCCAGTTGAGGTGTGTTTTTAAAGTGTTGCTCAAAAAGTGTCCTTGTGCCCTCTGAGGCATGGGAGGCAATTATTGCCATCATTTGAGGGGTGGCAGCCCTCCTGGTGAACCTGTATCCTCCAAAAGTGTTTTGTTCTTCTTGTTGTTGTGGATGTTTCCCCCCAACCCACCTTTCATTTAACAAAATCTCTTTCTAGCCATCTAACATAACATGTCATTTCAATTTTAAAATATACAAATTAGCCCCTTTAGTCCTGCCCTCTTGGGAGTCTGGAATCTTTAGCTTCCAGCAGATCTGAGCTAACCTAGGATGTAGTGCTTTGACAATAATGGATAGTACTGCCCACAATAATAGGTTGTATTGCTATACAGAGTGCTGGTTCCATCATCAAATATGGTACAGAAATTACGGAAAGTTATTGCGAGGTTAATGATTTATGGTGTGTGTGTATTTTTTTAAGCAAGGAGAAACAGTAGCAGATGTCAGAACACTGCTGAATGCTACAACTGTTGACAATATTCGATCCGTATTTGGAAATGCTGTTGGCAGGTATGGTGCAGCTACAAAGTGCAGTATAATTCAGATATTAAGTTCAAACAAATTGGGAGTAAAAATATATTCTTACTAAGAATATTGTCTTCAAGTCTTGAAGTCAAAGCAAATGATAGTGATTTGAGAAGTCTTAAGATGTTTATATTGAGTTTTTTTTTATTTTAAAACATCTTAATGGTTGAACTACTTAGCATAGTAAGTGTACTGGAGTCACAACTTATAGTAGGTCCATTTGAATCAATGCAAGTTATACAGGAGTTGACTCATCAAATCTACATAGATTCAGTAGACCTACTGTATTGTAACTCTAAGCTAAAAATAGGATTTCAGCCATTGGTGCATTAAATTTCTCAGTATGTTTTTGGCATGTTTCTGATGTCTGGAAACTTAATTTTGTTCTCACATGGGAGACTATACTGTGTGATAGACTGAAGATAGTGATGTTGCCTGTGCTGGTAATCTATGTAGTGGGATATCCAGGGCAAGTATATCCAGGGAAAATATATTCTCTCTCTGATATCTCTTTTATATGCATGGTATGATCCACTTTGGGATTGTGACAGGGTTGAGAGAAACAGATTGAGGGGGAATATTTGTATTATTTATTTATTTAATTTATACCCCGCCCATCTAGACTGAAGTCTACTCTGGGCAGCTAACAACAGTACAAATAATGACAATATAAAATAGAGCAACAACAATAATGCAACAAGAAATGGCAATGAAGTAAGTCAGATATTGACAGGGGGGAAGGCCTGCCTAAAGAGCCAGGTCTTAAGTTTGCTCTTAAAAACACCCAGCGAGGGGGCCAGGCGAATTTCTGGGGGAAGATTGTTCCAAAGGTGAGTGGCCACTGCCAAGAAGGCCTGATTTCTTGTTCTTTCTCTCCTGGCCTCCCTCGGTGTTAGACTCCTTAGCTGCCCATCCTGGCTGAAGCGAGTGATTTGAGTAGATCTAGGTGGGAGAAGGAGTTCTGCTAGATATTGAGGTCTTGAACCATTTAGGGCTTTATATGTTGTCATTAACACTTTGAAATCAATTTGGAAACGACCGGGCAGCCAGAGTGGGGGAGATATGTTGATGTTTTCTCACCCCAGTGAGAAGTCTGGCCACCGCATTCTGCACTATTTGAAGCTTCCACACCAATCTCAGAGGTAGCCCAATGTACAGCGCATTACAATAGTCTAATCTCGAGACTAGAAGCAAATGGACCAGAGTGGTGAGGGCCCCAACATCAAGATCGGAATGCAGCTGGGCAATCCACCAAAGATGGAAGTAGGCGGAGTGGACCATTGATGCTACCTGCGTTTCCATAGTAAGCACTGGATCCAGGTAGACCCCCAAGCTGCAAACCTCACTCTTTGTGGTGAGAGTCCCCCCCCCCCCCAAAAAAGGGAGTTTCCCAAACCATCAATGGCAGGGCCCCCCATCCTCAGGACCTCTGTCTTGTCCGGCTTCAGCCTCAGACCATTCACCTGCATCCACTGCAATACAGCCTCCAGACAGTGCTGAAGGGATGAAATGGCATCCAGGGTTGTTGGAAAAAAGGAGATGTAGAGCTGGGTGTCATCAGCATGCTGATGACATAAAGCCCCACACCCCTGATGACCTGACTCAGCAGCATCATGTAGATATTAAACAGCATTGGGAAGATAATCGAACTCTGCAGAACCCCACAATTGAGGTTCCACGGAGCTGATACATTCTCCCCAACCTGTACTGTCTGAGGACAGTCCTCGAAGAAGGATCGGAGCCAGGCAAGCACTAGATCACCAATTCCCAACTCGGAGAGCCTCCCCAGGAGGATACCGTGGTCGACGGTATAAAAAGCGGCTGAGATATCAAGGAGGACCAACAGAGACATTTTGCCCAGTCAGCCTCCCTCAACAGGTCATCAAACAGGGCAACCAATGCTGTTTCTGTACTGTGGTGCGGCCTGAAGCCCAACTGAAATGGATCCAGGGCATTGATTTCATCCAGAAGGGCCTGGAGCTGATCGGCCACCACCCTCTCTATCACTATGCTAAGGAAAGAAACATTGGCAACGGGCCTATAATTGCCAATGCTGTCTGCCGCCAAGCTCGGTTTCTTCCTAATGAGCCTAATGAGTGTCTCCTTGAGGGAAAGAAGAACTTTGCCGTCCTGCAGAGATGCATTAATTATTGCCATGGCCCATTCAGTTGTTATAGGCCTGGCTGCTTTGATTAGCCAGGCCGGTCAAGGTCAAGGGGAGAGGCGGTGGCACGATAGCAATCAAGCACTTTGTTTACATATCTGGCGTCACAGGAGGAAAGAGATTAAGTCTCATCAGGCAAGGCGGAGTGCTGGACGTCTCTGCTCGATCTACTGTATTCAAAAAAGGAGAAAGATCCCGGCAATGGCTTCAACTTTAGATTTTTAAAATGTTCCAATTGGTCAGGTGAAATACTAGTCGGAGGCCGATCACTGAGACCAATTCCGGATAGATTGTGAACTATATGGAAAAGTTCTGCCTGCTGATTTGAAGCTTTGCTTATCTGGACAGTGAAGTAAACTCAACTGGCAGCCCTTACCCTGGTAAGGTAAAGGTTAGTTGCGGTCCTAACAGCTTTCTGATTATAATCTATCGGGTTTCATCTCCAATTGCACTTTAGCATTCTCCTATTCTGCTTCATAGCTCGCAGCTGCTGGTTAAATCAGGGTGCTGAACGAGCTCTGCAACGGAGAGCGCGTTTAGGAGCGATCATGTCAACAGCCCTGGTAGCAACGGCGAACCAGCCATCAACCAGAGCCTCGACAGGACCGCCAGTCAGATCAGCCGGAATCCCTCTCATGGAGTCCTAGAATCCTATAGGATCCAGTAACCTTCGAGGGCAGACCATTAAAATAGGTCCTTGCTCGCTGCAGGGAGGGAGAACCACTGAGAGGTTGCATTTTATTAGGCGGTGATTCGACCATGACAAGGGGACTGACACAGGCTCAGTCACCATCAGACCACACTCATTTCGCTCGGGGGGGGGGAAACACCAGGTCTAACGTGTGACCGCCCACATGGGTGGGGCTGTTGACATGTTGGAACATGTCCAAGGAGGCCATGGTTTCCAAGAACTCAAGAGCCGGACCAGAAACCTCTGCCTCCACATGGATGTTGAAACCTCCCAAGACTAAATCCCAGGCCCCAAGAAGTTCCTCTTTCCTGTGCATATCTAGAGGGCATAATACAGCAACGTGTCTTTTAAGAAGTTTGTGTCAGTTGTCTTCCTGACTGTTTGCTGCTAAGCCTGGTGCTCCAGATCTCTTAACTGTGCACAATAGATACCAACTTTCAGATTGCTGTTGCTGTTGTTAACAATACAGAGACTGAAGTCCAGTAGTAAATTTCAATGACAGTAGGCCCATTGAATCAATGGAACTTGCCAGAAGAATTAACTCAAGAAAACCCCACAAATGCAGTAGGCTTAGTTTAGTTGCAACTTACTTCTGGATTGCAGTTAATGAATGAGAAACAGTTCCCTTCTCTAAGGAGCTTGCAGTCTAAAAGTTGATGCAAGAAAATAACAGGACGGGGAAGGAAACAAAGGTGGTGTAAACAGTGGGGAAGAATACTTCATTACAGTGGGGTCTCGACTTACGAACAGCCGGAGTTACGTACTTTTCAACTTACGAACCGCTCTGAGAGGAAAATATTTCCTTGACCTACGAACTTTACTTCGAGTTACACACCCCTGCCCGTCCAGCCGCCTCTTCTCTGTGCTCGGGCAGGCCCTCCCCGCACAGCCACACCCCACCCCTGCCATCTGCTCTCTCCCCCTCACCTGCTCCTGCGGTGGCAGGGGGGCAGAGGCCCTCCCCAGGGGGCTCCGCCCCCACGTGCTTTGCTTCTCTGTTGGTCTTCTTCCCCAGGCTGGCTCCCCTCCCCCCGCTACCACGTGCTTTGCCTCTCTGCTCCCGGCGAGGAATCTGGCCGCCGCCGTTGCAGGGAGCCCCTTTCGCTCCATGGCCACCCATGCCTTGACTGACTTTCCTCCCCTCCCCTGCCGTCTCTTCTCTCGCCCCTCACCTGCACCCGGCAAGGAATCTGGCCACCGCCGCCACCGAGTGCTGGAGCAAAGTCACCCCACCAGCCGGGTCCAAACTCTGGCAAGAGACCAGCTCAAAGGTAGGAGAGACTGGCACGGGGGAGTGGGAAGGAAGGACCAAGACTGGGAGCACTTTTCTAGGCAGAGAGAGATGTGGTGTTTGTTCTGGAAGGCAGGCATTTTTGTGCTGGAGGAATGGTTGCTGGATTCTGTGCCTTGCTGTGTGTGTGTGGGGGGGGTTAAGGCTTGGCTTGTTTGTAAAAGTGCTTTGTCAACTGTTCTGTTGTCTGAAAGGTGCTTGATTTAAAAGGTGTTCCCTCCCTCCTTTGCTGCCCTTTTCCCCCCAAAATGGGCTTGGCTTGGCTTGGCTTGGCTGAAAAGGTTGGCTGAAAAGTGCTTTGCAAACTGTTCCCTGCCTCCCCCCTCCTTTCCTGAACTTTTCTTGACCTAAGAAAAGAAAAGAAAAGAAAAGAAAAAACCCTCTAGTGGTAGAAGGCGGAATAGCAGCTTCCCCTTAGTTTCTATGGATGGAATAGAGCAGATACGGATTAAATGGTTTTCAATGCATTCATATGGGAAATGCAGATTCGACCTACGAACTTTTTGATCTACGAGCCGCCTTCCAATACGGATTAAGTTCGTAAGTCGAGACCCCACTGTATGCAGAAGGGAATAGAGATTGCTAGGTTGTGCCAAAGGTTTTGCAGAAAGGTTAGCTTTTGTGAATGGGTTTAAACAAAATTGAAGATATTTAGAGACTCATTCATTCATTCATTCAGAATAAGTAAATAAATAAATGTGTCTTTAAATACTGTGAATGAGAACATCTCTTTAAAATGAGCTATACTGAAATCTCATCTTAATGCCATGAGGTACTTAGCTACAGTTGTAGGAAGATTGTTACCCATTATCTAGTACTTCTGCCAGCATTGGCATGAAGGTCAGTGTGACACTGTTACTAAATTTAGAAATTGCAGTTGAAGCTGAAGCGCTGAACTGTCAATGCTCATGCCATGCTAGCAGAAACTATGCTGAACAGATTGCTTGTTCCATGGAAGTATAGTGAATAGTCTGATGCATACTTTATATTGAAGGTTTGTGTGGCTGCAAATTTCAAATCTCTTTTTCCTGCTTTACTAAATGTTGATGAGCTGACCTTTTGGTTTCTGGAAAGAATGTGTGCATGTTAACCTTCAATGAATGATCAACATCATGTGCAGTCAAAACACTGACTTATGGGTACCCTTTTCAGGATTTTCTGGGTAGAGGCTACTCAAAAGTGTCTTGCCATTCTCTTCTTTTGAGGGCACCTTGGGACTGTGCAGCTTGCCCAGAGCCACACATGCTGGCTCTTCTGGGGTGCACAGTGGGGAATCAAACTCCCTTCCTCTGACACTGCAGCCAGATACCTAAACCTCTGAGCTATCTAGCCAACTAACCTTTAATAAAAGTTAATGTTGAATAAGTTCTAGAATGTATAATAATAAAATTGTCCTAAAAGGATGCAGAAACTGTCCATACACTTATTCAGGTTCCAGAGAGTCATCAGTTGAACTACTGTGTTGTTGGTATTACATATTTCGATGTTATGGATAACCTTGTTTCAGAAAATAATCAAAATGAAAATTTAGTGATATGATTGTTTAACAGTGATTTTTCAGCCATTGTTGGAATAAACCAGTTTCTCTGGTTGGTATATAATGAGGGTCTGTGCTTTTTCTAAAGCAAACAGTTTTCCCCCTTTACTTCTGTAAAGTGGGAAGTGGGTGGCATGCCGAGTCTCCTCCAGGCTCATGCGTGATAGTCCACATCTTTTTCTATGATCTGAAAAAGGTTGTGGGACATGCCTGTATAAAAAACTGGTTTGTGGAGATGAAATAAGCACGTTTACAAGAAAGAAAAGAGCTCCACTGAGCATAGCTCTGTTGAGATGTGTGAAGTGGCAATCTTTAAAGAGGGAACATATGTTAAAATGATCTTGTTTTATGAGCAATTAAAGTAAATTAATCACCATAAAGAAGTATGTTCGCCTTTGTTAACAAGGCAGTCTATATTGGTAATAAGCAGTCAAAACACTGACTTATGGGCACCCTTTTCAGGATTTTCTGGGTAGAGGCTACTCAAAAGTGTCTTGCCATTCTCTTCTTTTGAGGGCACCTTGGGACTGTGCAGCTTGCCCAGAGCCACACATGCTGGCTCTTCTGGGGTGCACAGTGGGGAATCAAACTCCCTTCCTCTGACACTGCAGCCAGATACCTAAACCTCTGAGCTATCTAGCCAACTAACCTTTAATAAAAGGTAATGTTGAATAAGTTCTAGAAAGTATAATAATAAAATTGTCCTAAAAGGATGCAGAAACTGTCCATACACTTATTCAGGTTCCAGAGAGTCATCAGTTGAACTACTGTGTTGTTGGCATTACATATTTTGATGTTATGGATAACCTTGTTTCAGAAAATAATCAAAATGAAAATTTAGTGATATGATTGTTTAACAGTGATTTTTCAGCCATTGTTGGAATAAACCAGTTTCTCTGGTTGGTATATAATGAGGGTCTGTGCTTTTTCTAAAGCAAACAGTTTTCCCCCTTTACTTCTGTAAAGTGGGAAGTGGGTGGCATGCCGAGTCTCCTCCAGGCTCATGCGTGATAGTCCACATCTTTTTCTATGATCTGAAAAAGGTTGTGGGACATGCCTGTATAAAAAACTGGTTTGTGGAGATGAAATAAGCACGTTTACAAGAAAGAAAAGAGCTCCACTGAGCATAGCTCTGTTGAGATGTGTGAAGTGGCAATCTTTAAAGAGGGAACATATGTTAAAATGATCTTGTTTTATGAGCAATTAAAGTAAATTAATCACCATAAAGAAGTATGTTCGCCTTTGTTAACAAGGCAGTCTATATTGGTAATAATTCGATAAATTATATTATTTAACCACATATATGTGTCAGGTTGCGGCACTTAGTAGGAGTAAGGCCTGCTGAAAACAATGGAGCTTTCTATGACTAGACATGCATAACGCTACACTGTAAGACATTTCTAAGAGCTTCAAGTGCATGCACTTGCTTCTCAATTTTTGTAAAATATATTTGGATTAGACTTAGGTGAAAAAATGTGCAGATTTGAAGTTTAATAAGACTTTATTGTGTCTTGAATAGTAGTTCCTATGAAGCAGAGGGGAAATTAATTACTTTTTAATGTCTCTAGAGAGTTGATTGAAGTGGGCTGTGAAGATGCAGCATTGGCTTTTAAAATGAAGGGTTATGTAACCAATGCAAACTATTCAGTGAAGAAATGTATCTTTCTGCTTTTCATAAATCGTAAGTACAAACATGTCTTTCTTTTGGGGAATTATCATATGGAGCCTTAACAAGAAGCAAGATTTTCTTTAATAAGGGTTGCTAAAAGTATTGTTATTGAAGTACTATAAAATCTAGGAAAACAGGAGTATTTCATTGTTTGATTTTTGGGTTGAAATTTAATGTGACTTGTAGCAAAGATCTGGGATTCTATTCTAAACCTCCAGATTTTATTGTTTGCATGTATTCTGCATATTGGTCAAGTTTCTTTTACTTTAATAATAATAAGAAAATATAACCCTCTGCTTGACTTTCATGAGTCTCTGCCTGTCCTAAACTAGTCAATAAATACCTCATTTATTATATTACCTCTACCATATTGCATTTCTTGAGGCTTTAAGCTACATTTTCTGGCAAACTGAATATCATGCTCTAATCAAAGTAGGGAAGAAGCGAATCCATTCTTCACACTTTCACTGGATAATCCTTTACACAGATAAATTACATGCAGTACAAGTTCTTAATCCAGAGAAAGTGAAATGTGCTTATGTGCCACTGACATAAATGAGCCTGAGTCAAAATCAGTGAATTCATAAGAACCAAGGCATGGGTCAATCTAGGTAGAGGCTACCATAACACACATCTGAATGCTCCAGACCAGCCAAGTGGTAAATGTTTGGCTTTTATAGAGATGATCACACTTACTGATGATCAAGTTACTCAAGGGCATTTTTGACTGCTACTTAGCGTCTTAATTCTTATGAAAGCAGTATGGATGTACTTATTTAGTTTTTCACGCATGGTTTCTCCATTTTGGCTTTATTTTTGCAAAATAAATCATGACATGGTGCAATATGTCATGTGTTGCTGTTCCTCTTTGGTTGTATTTACTTATTTTTCAGACCTGCTAAGAACCAGATGATTTTTATTATGTCCTGATATGCAAACCATAGAATCCAAAGAGGATGTACTTTCTTTTTCACATGACTTTATATACTTGTTGGTTGTACAAGGGAAACATTAAATATCAAAACTTGATCAGACATGGATGCAAAAGTGGTATTATAGAGGAAGTAGTGCAAACTGCATTACTTGGTCTCCTTTGCTTTTCATGTTCTCTTTCCAGATCGATTGGTTGAATCAAGTGCTCTGCGGAAAGCAATTGAAACTGTTTATGCTGCTTACTTGCCCAAAAACACACATCCATTTCTATACATAAGGTAAAACAAATTTGCTCTTCATTTTCTGGTGATCATCTGTGGTCAAATGTCTTCTGTACAATAATCTATATTTATCAGTATGTGGTGTCAAGTCACTTCTAGTTTATGTTGACTCTATGAAATCATGAACTCCAAAATATCCTGTCATCAACAGCTTTGCTCAGGTCCTGCAAACTCAAGGCCATGGTTTCCTTTCTTGAATAAATATATTCTCTTTTTGGTCTTGTTCTTTTTCTGCTGTCCACAAAATTTTTCAGCATTATTGTCTTGTCCAGTAACTCTTAATAATCCATATATGTAGGCCTAAACCAATGTTGATAGATTAAACCTCTGTGGTGCAATATCAGACAAAACATTCTCAATACCACAAAACTCAGGTAAACACTGAAGAAAGTTAAAATATTTTCATTTTGATCATAACAAGATTGGAGTTTAGCAGACAGAATAACCTGAATAGGAAGAAAATAATCAAAATGGTGGCGTTATTCAAAGTTGACTGTTATGAGGTGCAACATTTTTAAGTTCTTGGTACTGGTTCCATGTTCAGTAATGATGGAAACTTATATTGCATTTAAAGACTGTTTCCACATGCTGTCTGTGATGAAGATGCACCTTGCTAAAGAGTAATCTGTAGATAATAAGGAACAGGGTATGGGTCAGAAGGACCTGGAAAATACTGACAATAGTAGCCAACAAGAGTAAGCGTAAAAAGGAGTAGGAGTGTGACAATTGCCCCACGTCACTCCTGTCACTCATATTCAGGATCTCATTTGCATGAGCCTATGAGAGGAGTGGAGGGGCGGGGTCAGTGGATACAAGCAGAGTTTTGGCAGAGGAGATGGGAGAGATGGAATTTGCAGAGAGAGAGAGATAGTCAAGGAGATTGTGAGAACAGATGCAAATAAAGATAAGCTGGTCAAGGTACATAGAGCAGGTGGTGATTGGTTATGTGGCAAGATATACAATATTTTAAAGAATTGATTGTATGCACTGAATAAAGAACATCTTTGATTCTGATTTAATGTAATACACTTCAATAAATAAGTTGTGTTGGCAATAATCAGACAAGTGTCTGACTAAAGTCTTTTACATAAAGGAATCTAAAGGAAAAAGAGGGAATGTCACAATTGATATCTGCTGGTGGGAGGACATAGCATGAGCCCTTTATGTTTGGTGAAACAAGCAGGGGCCACGTAGTAAACGTTACAAGGAGGAAGAGAGGGGACAGTGAAAGGGTAATACAAATGAAATCTGTTCCTGGATTACCAGACAGTGAGAAAGTGCTGTATACCCTGTAGTTTAACATCACAGTACTTACCTTATAAAGCAGGTGTCAGAGCATCATTTTCACCTTATTGTCATAATCACATTTGAATAATGATTAATGATTATTAATAATGATTATGAATAATGATTAATGATAAGCATTTGTGTCGTAAAAATCTAACTCTCCATGTATTGGCTAGAATCCTGTTGGTGATTTATGTGTTCGTAAGTGAAATTATCTAAGTTGCAGTCGTAAATTGCCACTAATTAACAAGGTGGCTGGTTTCAAGTAGAACAAACCCAATAAATCATCTACTGAATGGCAGTATAATCAGTGTTAATCCCATTGATTCAGTGACTCTGCTCTAGTTCAAACTAGCAATTGGATTTATAATCAGAAAGTGTAGAATTACTGCATTCCCATCAGTTTATCTGCAGCGTTAATTTTTTAAAAACTCTTTACATAACTGAAGGAGACATCCAGGAGATGGCAAGGAAGAATATTGTTTCAGTAATAAGCAAGAGATTTGAAATATTTAAAACTCCAGAGCAGTACAAAAAAAGTGTATATGATAAACACATCACACCTGTAACTCTGGCTATGATACTCACTCTGACATACCTGCTAACTCTTGGTGTGCTTCAAATGTTTTGTAGCATTGAAATAGCCCCTCAGAATGTTGATGTGAACGTACATCCCACAAAGCATGAAGTTCATTTTCTACACGAAGATAGCATCTTGGAGCGAGTACAGCAACACATAGAGAGCAAATTGTTGGGTTCTAACACATCAAGAATGTATTTTACACAGGTGAGTGGATATTTTTTTTTATCAAAAGGGAATGGTTATGAATTTTTTGAGTTCAGGGTTAGATTTGTCCAGTTTGGAAATGGATGACACCAAACAATGTATGTGAAGTACATCTTCCCAACACAAAGTTGACTAATAGCGCAAAGTCCCTCCTCAGCTGCATGCTGCTTTGGTTTGCACAGGCGGGGACTCATTGCAACTGTTTTTTTCTCTGCATTTTTGGGGAGAGAATCACAGAATCAATATGAAAAGTCCAGAAATGATAATACCTTTAATTTAACTCATAAAGTCTCAGAAACAGACTATATTTTGAGGCCTATAGGACTGTTTGTCAAATTGAGCACTATAGAATCTTTACCTTTACCTTACTCCACATCACATCTGACCCATCCCTTATTTGTTTGAATTTCTTCTCTTTCCAAAAAAACTTGTGCTGAATTGATATGATAATTGGAAATACTTGAGGCCACAATCTTTCCTCTCTCCCACACACCTTTGGCTTTCTAGTTTGATGTTATTTTGTATTATCGTCCTCCCATATCTTCCTCTTTTCCCTTTCTGTTCATCCCTTTTGCCAGTGTCTTGCTTGCCTTGCTGATCTGATGCAGCACTCTGTTTAGAAATAGAACCATTTTAAAATAGTATATGGGCAATTACTTGTAGCAGAAACTGAAGCAAAGCAACATGGGCAAAATCATGACAAAATAGTAGTATCCTCTCTCAGCTGTTAAAAATACATTGAATTCCCACAGAAAAAGACCAGGCTGTCAGATGATAGTTGCAGGGAGTGCTTTGGAGAGTGATTGATACAGTTCCAGTAATACCAAATTGCTTCTCTTTCCCCTGCCCCCCAATCTCTCTCTGTTTGATAAAGACATTATTACCAGGCATTGCTGCCTCTTCCACTGATACAGTCAAGTCAGCAGGTTCTTCAGCCACTCAAGGAGGTGACAAAGTTTATGCCCATCAACTGGTCCGCACTGATTCCCGGGACCAGAAACTGGATGCTTTTCTGCAGCCATCTAATAAACCCAAGACCTCTGTAAATGCTGCAGTAGCACCAGAAGAAAATAACAGGAAGCAGAGTTGTAAAGAGACTGTATCAGAGTATGTTGACATGGAAGAATGCAGTGATTTGAATGCAGAAGTTAGAGATGTGGGAGCTATGGAGACACCAGAACCATCAATAGACAACCAACCAGTGTCTCTTGAAGCTGTACCTGCCAGGTAAGTGTGATCTTCACAAATTATTTTTTTAGTTATCTTTGTTTATAACTACTATTGAGAGAGGTACTGGTGTATTGACCCTTCTTGAGACTTCCCTTTCGCCTTTCTGGGCAGTAATTTGGACTTTGAAAAAGAGTTGATCCATAGACTGCATTCAGTTTGGTTCTTGTAATTTTTAATTTATATATCAAATATATGTCTCGTCTTTTATTTTATCTGAGCAAATTCTTATCATTAAAACACATTTTAAAACAGCAGCAAGGAATACAAACGTTAAAATGAGGTGAGTAAAATAATCCAGCAAGACAAGAGTACCAAACAAGCTGTCCTTGGTTGCGAGTTCCATACTACTAAGACGGCCTGACAGCATACAAGTGGAGAGCAGAAAAGGATAGAATTATGCACGGTGCTTCCTATATGACCATTAGGAATTGGCAGCTTTGTGTAGGAGGTTTCAAGTATTTTTCAAATGTCATAATTAGCATTTTTAATTTAGCCCAGAAAGAAATGTAGAAGTCAGTGTAGATGTTTCAGCAAAGGAGCAATGTGCTGCCAGAGTGCTGCCCATGTTAATCTGACTGACTGACTTACTTACTTACTTAATTTCATGAACTTGTATACTGCCCAATTAGTGCTGGCAGTTTACATCAAAATAAAGAAAATATAAAATATATATAATATAACTGTGTACAAACTAATAATCAAATAAATCAAAATATAATCCATGCCTCAACTCAAAAATAAAAAAAACCCAGATGACGGCAGAGCAAGCAACATCAGTATAAAAAGACCAAAAATCATTAGAAGATGCCCTGAAAGGCTTCAGTAAACAGCCTTGTTTTGAGCATCTTCTTAAAGGCTGAGAGCTCTGGTTTCACACTCCATTCTGAATCATTTGGAGTTTCTAAGCACTTTTGAAAGATAGCCCCACATAATGTTATTCTGTAGTAATGTAAGCTGTGATGTGACCGTGGTGTTTTGTTACAACACCCAGATTTTAAAGATCTAAGAAAAAGCCTAGTTCATCAGCTTAAGACATTCCTAGGCATAGTTTTCACTTAGGCATCCAAAACTAAGTCTGTGGCCAGAAGGCCATCTATGTTCTCTTTTACTTAGGATTAGACTCCACAGGTATAATTAGGATCTTTAAAACATGAGAACAGAATAATTTTGATTCTTCTGTGTGGCCTCTGTGAATGTACACAACTGGATTTAAACTGCACTTGTGCTGGTTCCTTGGAATATTCTAGAGCTTAAGATAAAAAAATTAGCACATTGTCCCTATCACACATGCTCCACCCAGTCGTGCACCTCAATTCAATTTTTTCCGCCGCTGCAACTGGAACCTCCTTGCTAGAGCTCTGTGTCCTTTTTAGAAATTTTACGGTTTTGACTTTGGATTACCTTGATTACGTTTTTGGATTATGATTTGGCTTAGTACACGTTCCTGGCTTGATCTTCGGTCTAGTTTTTTGATTCTCGCTTTTCTATATGGACTTGTTTTGGTAATATATGTTTCCCCGGCTTGATCCTTGGACTGATTATTGATTCCCGCCTTTTCTTCACGGACTTGTCTTGGCAATTGACGTGGTTCCCGGCTTGATCTTGGACTGTTTATCGATTCCTGCCTTTCTTTATGGACTTGTTTTGGTAATTTCAAGCCTTTCAGATTGACTTTGGACTTCTGGCAATTTTGTTTAGTTTATGGCCTCCTCAGGACCATTTAAGTGCTGTATTTCCTGTGCAGCTAAAATAACTCACAGACGGGCACGAGCGCTGTCTTTTTTGTTTGGGGGGAGGACATCTGCCCCACGCCTGCCCTCACTGTAGAAATCTTTCCAAACCTGCTCTTAAGTCACAGGATTGCCTATGGGATAAATCTCTTTCCCCTTTGAAACCTATCATGGATACTATCCCAGCACAAACAGCAACCCCTCATTCGGAACCTTTGGCAGCGACATTACAGACTGTTTCTGCGCCGAGGTCCCCGACAAAGTCTCTTAAGAGGGCATCAGGTTCGAACTCTAAAAAATCTTCGACATTGACTCCTAATGTTACAGCCTCAGAGTCAAAGAGAAAGAAGTCTTCGGTTAAACAAGAAAGACAAGCCTTCTTCAAATGATCAACCCCATGATTTACTGGTGATATCGACGTTGTTACCATCCCCTATAATGGAGGAGTCTTCCAGGGACGGGGCTGACACCGAGTTTATTTCTGATTGTGATACTTCGGTCCATCAGCGTACTGTGCAGGCTCTGGTACCAATACCGAGCTGTTCACTGAGCCCAACGCTTGTGCAAACTGAGATTACTTGCAGCCAAGAATCTGCCCATTCTAGCCCTGTTTACACCGGGTGGGCAACTGTGGTGAGCCTGTCAAACTCGGAGGAATCTTCGTGCCACGTATCTCCCAGGAAGAGTAGAAAAAAGAAAGCATACCTCTCAATCTCAGCATAGAGAAGTGATTGTTCTACCTTGAACCTCTCAACGCCACTCTCGGTCTGGGTATGACAGCCCCGTCTACATCGAAGACGCACGCAAAAAGGTTCATCATCGATACCGAGATGAAGATTTCGATGTCGACTCTTGTTATGAGGTCGAAGATTATGGTAAACACAAAAGAGTCAAATATGTTTATGCCTCTTCATCTTCCACGTCGCCCTTGCCACTGAGGCATCGACATCGACTTAGTCATGACATCAAAATTTCTACATAAAAGACTGCCAAACATCGACAGTCACGTCTGGACCAGACCAAGCAAACAGATACGATGACTAAAACCAAGATTCTCTCTAGTACTTCGCTACTGGGCGCTAAACAATCAAACCTATCACAGCAACTCACAAAAAGTTTGACTTCAATTCAAACCTCAAAAAGATGCCATAAGTCGCCTTCACCTTCTTTTCAGGAAGACTCTTCAGCATCATCTGTCTCAGATGGTGATGAATCATCTTACATTAATGAGGAACCTCTTCCTAATATAAACACACCAGATTTGGATGTTGGGGATTTGTGCCCTCCGTCCCCATCTCAAGATTTTACATCATATTCTCAAATGATATCCAGAATGGCCAAGTCTCTGCAGCTAGACATTGAGCAACCACCTCCACCCAAACAAGATTTAGTGTTTGATGACATTAATCAAGAAAAAGCTCATCTATTAAGTTTAGCCTTTATTCCAGCCATGATAGATACCATTAAAGAAGTTTGGAGCTTACCATCATCTTCAATGCAAATTTCGAGGAGAATGGAGGGTCATTACAGAACACATGGAGATGACACACTCTTTCTTTCAAAACACCCTGCTCCTAACTTCATTATTGTCCAATCAAACTTGTCCAGGACAGGTGGCAAGGCTAAAGTTACCCCTACCAATTGTGAAGGGAGAAAGTTGGACGTGCTCAGGTGTAGGATCTATTCCTTTGCTTCTTTCCTGCTCAGGGCATCTAATTATCAGGCAGCATTAGGGGCTTACCAAAAACAACTTTGGGCCAAAGTTCTTTCTGCCCTTCAATTAGCTCCTGAAGAGACTAGGACATTGCTGCTTAATGCCCATGCTGAAGCTTTAACTGTTGCAAAACATCAAAGAGTAGCATCCCACCATGCGGCAGAGGTTGCTTCCAGGTCCTTAGTGTCAGCAATTGCGTTAAGATGCCATTCTTGGCTAAGATCATCAGGGATTGCTGAGGATGCTAAAGCGCGCATAGAAGAGCTAGCCTTTGATGGGGCTGGTTTATTTAATGAAAAAACAGATGAGATCATGGACACCTTTCACAAAATCAAAAAGACAGCTAGATTGTATATGATACAACCCAAATTTCAAAATTATCAGTGATGAAGATCCTATGGCCAACAACAGTACCATCAGAACTGCCAGACTTACCGATCCCATGGTCGATCAGTTCAGACTTCAGCAGATAACACATCATTTAAGCCTCAAGCTTCTTTTCAGCACCGCCCAGGTTACCGTCAGTCTTCTAAGAAAGGAAAACAGTACCTTTGACTTTCTCTCACTGGACAATAATATGACACCCCCTCCCACCAGATTGGCTCCTTTCATAGAAAATTGGGTTCAAATCACCAAGGATATGGGGGTTCTATCCATCATTCAATTTGGTTACCTACTAGAATTTGTAGAACTTCCTCCAACCGGGTGCATAAAAGTTACATCCTACGACCCAGCCCTAGAAGAAGAAATTTTATCACTGTTACGCAAACATGCCATCCGGCGCGTTCCATCAAGAGATTACGAGAGGGTTTTATTCCCGTTACTTTCCCAAGAAAGACGGAGGCATCCGACCCATACTAGACCTCAGATTATTAAATACTTACCTTCATCTGAGACACTTCCGCATGGTCACACTCGAATCAATCACCTGTTAAAACAAGAAGATTGGTTTGTGGTCATAGATTTAAAGGATACCTATTTTTACATATCTATTCACCAATGGCATCAAAAATACCTACGTTTTTTCTTTAGAGATACAGTGATGCCTTGCCTAACGACGTTAATTCGTTCCAGCGAAATCACTGTAGAACGAAAACGTCGTAAAGCGAAATAAAAAAGCCCATTGAAATGCATTGAAAACCGTTCAATGCATTCCAGTGGGCTGAAAACTCACCGTCTAGCGAAGATCCTCCATGGGGCGGCCATTTCCGGTTGCCTGTAAAGTGAAAAATGGCTCCTAAACACAGCAGGGAGCCATTTTGTACACCCGGTGGCCATTTTGAAACCCGACAATCAGCTGTTTTTGATCGTCGTAAAGTGAAAATCGGTTCCCGAAGCAGGGAACCAATCATCACAAAGTGGAAAAACCCCATTCAAACCATCGTTTTGTGATCGCAAAAACATAGTCGTCAAGTGGATTCGTCGTTAAGCGGGCTAATCGTAAAGTGGGGCACGACTGTACTGCTTATAAATTTTGCGCCCTACCCTTCAGTTTGTCTACTGCGCCAAGAACTTGCAAAGTGCATGGCACCAGTTGCAGCTTACCTTCATCTGTACAACATCACAGTTTTGCCATACATCGACGATTGGCTGGTAGTAGCTGCAACATTTCAAAAGGCTGTGAAAGATCCCGAGTTTGTTTTGCAAACCCTGGCAAACCTAGGTCTAAAAGTCAACTACAAGAAGTCTCACCTACCTCCTACTCAGGTAATAAATTACATAGGGGCGTAATTGGACTCTACTTGTGCAAGAGTGTTTCTTCCTCCAGAACGTGTCACCAAGTTTTAAAAAGCGCTTCATCCGTTTCGTCCCCATGCAACAGTATTGACACATCATACGTAACATCTGTTAGGTCTAATGGCTTCAACTACCTGCGCCCTCTCAGATGTGAGGCTGAAGATGCCTTCCCTACAGGCATGGTACCTGTTTCACTTCGATCTCCTGGTGAACAACCCTTCCATGCATCTCCCTGTATCCAAGGAGTTAGGAGTTATCACATCAACTGAAAGCATAACAAATCTGCTAATGGGCCGTCCATTCCAGCAGTTACCCAGTTGTGTGCATCCACAGAGGCCATGTAGAAGAAAGAGTGGTTACTTGCCTGTAACTATGGTTCTTCTAGTGGTACTCTGTGAATCCACACATCCCGCCCAACCCTCCCCACTGTCCATCACTCATAGTCTTGGCTTATAAAGTTTTGATAGCGGCAAACACGTGGAACTGAGGTGTACGGGTAGGTGGAGCATGTGTGATAGGGACAAGGTGCTACTAATTTTTTTTATCTTAAGCTCTAGAATATTCCGAGGAAGCAGCGCAAGCGCAGTTTAAACCCAGTTGTGTGGATTCACAGAGGACCACTAGAAGAACCATAGTTACAGTTAGGTAACCATTCTTTTTGCCTTTGGTTTGCCATTGACAAAGTGTTGTTTATTTTTGACTTCACTGCACATCACTCTACTCTGACTAGTAGCATATTTAGCTAATAGGACAGCAGAATACATTTTTGTTTCATCTGCATTGCAGAAAGAGACAGCGGACAGATTGTGATGTTGAAATGGAAGAAGACACAAGGCAGGAAATGACTGCTGCCTGCACTCCAAGAAGGAGAATTATTAACCTAACAAGTGTATTGACCCTTCAAGAGGAAATAAGTAACCAAGCACATGCACGTAAGATTATCTGCTGTGTTTCTCCTGTTGTCTTAGACCTTTAACATTATCCTCTCTCAGTAATGGATTGATCTGTTAAAGTTTGACCATTTCACACATAGTCATAATGTGTAAATTGGGTGATAGCACTGAGTTAAGATTGCTTTTTATGCTATTTTAAGTATTTGGAAGGAGGTCAGAATCAAATATGCATCCTTAACAACTAGATCTGGTATTTCAGATATTAACAAGTTTATATCTCATCTGACTTTTGGCAGTGGCTGGAGAGCTCATTTACTAGAATACTTACAGGATCTTAAACATGGTAGTATGATTCTATTTTTATTTTATGAATGCGTGATAAAGCCGTTAATTTGCATTCAGGGCTAATGGCCTTCAAAACGTTAGCCTGAGATTTGGCTGTGCATTTAAGAACAAGGGGGAGGAAATTATTCTTAGCAAAGGAGAAAGGGATTATAGCTGGTCCAGGGTGATAGACTGTAACAGTGAGCTCATCCAGTTGATCTGGAACCTGATGTTGATTTGGAAATAACCTTCAGTGGGCACTGGATGCCAAAATTCTTATGACTGTTATGTAAGCTGTCCAGAGAAGTGAAGCATTCTGGTTCTAGTCCAGTAAATATTTATTCTGAAGGAAACAAAATAGCTTGCAAATTCTACATATGGATGGTTTCCTCTCAGCTGCTATTTGTATTTTTCAGAAACCATGGTGCTTTAGTAGTTTGGTAATCCAAGCTGTTGATCTTTTTAAAAGGACAGATATTATTGGTTCAGCTTATAGTACTGAACAGAACTAGTTTCTATTATTTTTTCAGGTCTTCAGGAGATGCTGCATGATCATTCTTTTGTTGGTTGTGTTAATCCTCAGTGGGCATTGGTGCAATATCAGACAAAACTGTACCTTCTCAATACCACAAAACTCAGGTATTAACATTGAAGAAAGTTAAAATATTTTCATTTTGATCATAACAAGACTGGAGTTTAGCAGATATAATAACATGAATAGTAAGAAAATAATCAGAAATGGTGGCATTACTCAAAGTTGACTGTTATGAGGTGTAGCATCATTTTTAACTTCTTGGTACTGATTCCGTGTTCAGCAATGATGGAAACTTATATTGCATTTAAAGACTGTTTCCACATGCTGTCTGTGATGAAGATGCACCTTGCTAAAGAGTAATCTGTAGATAATAAGGAACAGGGTATGGGTCAGAAGGACCTGGAAAATACTGACTTAATAGTAGCCAAGAAGAGTAAGCAGAAAAAGGAGTAGGAGGAATAGAGGGGACAGTGAAAGGGTAATACAAATGAAATCTGTTCTTGGATTACCAGAAACGGAGAAAGTGATAGTGCTGAATATCCTGTAGTTTGACATCACAGTACCTTCTTACCTAATAAGGCAGGTGTCAGAGCATCATTTTCATCTTACTGTCATAATCATATTTGAATAATGATTAATGATAAGTGTATGTGTCTTAAAATCTGACTCTCCATGTAGTGGCTAGAATACTATTGATGATTTATGTGTTCATAAGTGAAATTATCCAAGTTGCAGTAGCAAATTGCCACTGATTAACAAGTTGTCAGTTTTATTCCTTGCTGTGTGTCTGGCCATGTGATGCCCAGACAGAAATACATTTGTCATTTCATCACTTGTGACAATTTCCATTGCCAACAGAATTCTGGCAACTAATATTTATAATTTTTCTATAGTTCACAAGGATAATAGTCAAATTTGCATTCCTACTTCGAATCCTGTTGTTTTTGCACACTGATCTGACAGCAGCAGCAGCAAAACTTTCACAAGCAAGTTGCGGTAAATTAAAAAGTCAGGATAGGTATTTCCTGACACCCACAACTGTATGGTTTGATGTTGCAACAGGAAATGTCTTCTCTGACTATTGTAACCTTTGGCAGTTCACCACTGACATTATTCCATTGGTGTTAATAAAAAGCTGTATGGAATAAAAAGCTGTATGGATAGCTCAGTGACATGGAGAATCCAGAGTTATGAACTTGATTATCTACCATTCCTTATACAATTCTGGCCATTGAATACATATTGGGAAGTGTTGTCTTCTATTTTTAAGTTTATGTTTTTTCTAACTTACAATGTTTAGTGTACGTTTATTCTTTTATATTATTTTGATATTACTTTATTTTAATTTATTGTTGTTGATTATTGTTCTACTTTCTGTTGGCCTTGTGGCCTTGGTAGCTAGATGGGCAGTATACTAAATAAATAAATAAGCTTTTAAATTTTATTATTGAATTGAATAGTATTGTGTAAAAATACTTATTTGTGGTCTCTGTGAATCACGCATGTGGGTTTGCACTTGCTCAGAAACCAGCCTTGGAACCCTCCAGAGTCTAAAAAGGAATGTGTTCGTCTTTCCCAGTGCCACTGTGCGTGATCAGATACACCCTAATGGTTCTCGCTCAGTTCTACTCAGTTTGCAACAGAAGCAGCAGCTCAAGGGGACACCAAAGACTACTATGGGGTCAATTCCAACTAAGACAAAGAAGCATGTTTCAGCTTCAGATAAACAAGCCATGTCTAAAAAACATAAGAGAGATAAAAATCATGATTCTTTTGCTCAGTCTAAGCCTTTGGAAGCTGAAGCACAGCCTAGAGACCGTTCTGCATCTCACAATACTCCTTTGTCTGGCCCTCAACTCCTTCCAACCCAGACAAAGGAGGATGTCATGTGTCTGGGATCAGTATCAGAAGGAGAATTAGATGGGTCACCTGTCTTTGTCATGCCACATACACCATCTTGTTCATCAGGTGGATTGGCACATCAAGTGCTGTTGGAGTCAATGCCTCCAACATCTCAACGATGTGTTCCTTCCCGGCATCAGAACCAAAGGCAGTTAAGATAAGATCCCCATTGAGATCTCCACCATACCAATCTCAGGAATGATCGTGGTCACTTACTCAGAGGAGTCACGGTCACCAGCTCCATATAGTTAGCGAAGATAGTACTCTATGGACCCTCAGTATCAGCCAGAACATGGCTTCAGAGATTGATTGGGCTTCCCCTCACTCAGGACATGATGAGCATGGATTGTGGCAACATGTCCCCACAACCACATCATGAAGACTTGGCTTCAGCATTTCAGCATCAACAAAGATCAGTGTCTTGATCATTGTTACCACTGACAGTAAAACAGAAGCCATGAGCATGAGTTTTGTAACCTCCAGCAGATTAAATATTGGAACGAAGAGCCACTGACTCATCTGCATCAAAACAAAATCCTTGACCAGACAACTGTTGAAACCAATGGCTCCTTTGGAACCAGTGTCATAAGAACATAAGAAGAGCCCTGGGTGTTCATTCTCAGCAAGATGCTTCCTTTGGGTAGGCAGTGCTTTTGTCCTTGACAGCAAATCCCACCTCCAGTAAGTGAGCTTCTAGACACCCATATGTCTAATTCACAGAGACTATGAAGAAGAACAATTGTTTACCTGTCATATTTTACACATCCTCCACCCTCTTGCCCTCTGTTAGTCCTATTCATCTCAGGTCTAGGTGGTACATGAAGGATGGAGAACCATTAGGGTATATATGGTAATGTGCGGTGATGTTGGAGGAAAGGAAAAGCATTTCTCTTCAGGCTCTGGCTGGTTTCTGCAAGCCTATGTGTGAATTCACAAATGACCACTCAAGGAACTACAGTTCCAGGTAAGCAATTTGTTCTTCCCATTCTTGATTTTAAATAGTAAAAAGTAGTTACTACTACTCCATGTTCAAACTTTCTCTTTATTGCTTCTAAATGTATAGCAAAAGAGTACAAATAAAGCAAACTTATGTTTCCTGCTTTTCACTAGTCAAGAAATGTTCTACCAGATCCTTATCTATGACTTTGGAAACTTTGGAGTTTTAAGATTGTCAGTAAGTATACAATTTTTTGAAGTTTGTTTTAGTACTATGGAGTTTGAAGACTCTCCAGTAATTTGAAAATAGGTCCCATTTTGCCTTTTGATATTAAAAAGATATGTGAAGGTAACTGTTAATGATACTAGAAAATACAGAACAGAGCAGCATTCAAAAGAAGACAAATTTACAGAGAATACAAGAAAATACTTGAAATTATATTAAAAAGTGCACAAATGGATTTGTAGCCACACTGAAAACTAAATTGAATATATTGATGAAGGATCACATTTAACATTTTTAAATAAACTAGTTAATGCCCTATTTAACTAATAGAGGAACATTACCTGTCTTCATAGCCATAGCATATTGTTGGAGAGGGGGCAAGCAGTTGATGACTGCTAATTCTCATTTCCCACCTGCAAACTGGATTATTTTAACTTGCCTCTGATTTATGATGGTCCTGTGAATAATCAAATCTCAAAAATGTCTTGTCCTCAACAGCCCTGCTTGGTTCTTGTAAACTCAAGGCGGTGGTTTGCTTTAAGGAGTCATTCCATCCCAATTTGATTACACCTTGGCAAATATTTCGTTTTATATTCAAAGGGGAGAACCTTCCACTGTAAGAGATGCATCCGAAATCACATTTTGGGGTCCATAAACAATGGCTGAAATCTAGTTAGAGCAACTATGCCACATAAATAGTGGTGACACTTTCAGCCAGCAATGTTAGTCTTTATTTCAGTTTGATCTAAAACTTTCTCCACCACCCTTTTGGTGACAATGTTCCCAAGGGATCCCTTTTGCTTGGAGAAGTCTTTGGGAGCTTCAGAACAGTGGGGGGAGCCTTTAATATCAGAACAGTCTTGAGGTGATTTTTTTATATTAAAGCCCCCCCTCCAATTCCAAGGCTCCTAAAAGCTTTCACAGAGCAAAAAGGATCCATGGGGACTCTGGGAACCTGGAAGCGGGTAGGAAGTTTTCAATTAAGTTGAAATAAAGTTTCTTCTTCATGTCCTCTGTGAATACACACAAATGGGTCTTGTCTGCACCTGCGCTGATGTTCTTGGAATATTCTAGAGCTAAAAGTAACAATTTTATGGGCCAAGATTCCCCTCCGTTCCTTTTTTCCGCCATGCTGAAAGGTTCTACGGAGAAATAGAGCGATTTCACTGAGTTTTTCTCTCAGATTTTGGTCATTTTCCCTCTAAATTGGGCACCTCTTCCTTTCAATCAACTGATCAACCATCCCCTGTGAGTTGTTTCATTTTTGTTCCCCCCCCCNNNTTCCCCCCCCCCCACCCTTCAACTTTTTTTTTGTTTCCCGCTTTCCGGCTCCCCCGCCCCCCAATTGTTTTTCCCATCTGTTTTCCTGCCATTTTGGTCTCTCCAGCCCCTTTTGACTCTTAACGGTCACAATAAGTGCCTTTTATGCCTTTCTGCTTGGGTGAGCAACATCTAACCCAGGTGTGCGCAGCATGCAAAAAAGCTTGTGAAACGTGCGCTTAAACAGGGGCTCCAGAGACTCAGGTCTCAGTTGTGTGAGGTTGCTTTGAACCCCACAACTTCAACTGGTTCAGCTGTCCAGTTACTGGACAGACAGGTCCTGTGACAGACACTACCCTTCTCAACTCCCTTTCAGATGGCTACATTCCCTCGATCCAGAGAGGGATCTGACAAGCCAGAAAGTCCTTAAACCTAAGTCGACATCGACTTCCAGGCACCAGAAGGCTCAACATGACTAAGAATGGCAAATCTGCCTTTGAAAGAGAGAATGTGCAAGTTCCACCTGCACAAACTCTGGGATCAACCGGTAGCCTCTCTCCTCCATCTGGCCATTCAGTGATTGCACTACCTTCCAGTCCAGCCGTGGCCCATTCTAGCCCTACATTAGGGTGGGCATATGAGAATCCAGAGTTGGAGGTCGAGGCTCTTCCTCTATCTCACAAGATGAGGAAGGAGATTTAAGCCCATTATGATCAGGCTCGACATGGACAAGCTAAATGCTTCCGTTTTCTCCATCATATCAACACTTCGACATTGACAAGCTCGACGTCGACAAATGTCGACATGGACAAGCTAAATGTTCCCATTTCTCTGGCATATCAACACTTTGACATTGACAAGCTCGACATCGACAAGCTCAACATCAACAAATGACGACATGGACAAGCTAAATGTTCCCGTTTCTCCAGCATATCAACACTTTAACATCAACAAGCTCGACATCGAAAAATGTCGACATAGACAAGCTAAATGTTCCCATTTCTCTGGCATATCAACACTTTGACATGGACAAGCTCGACATCGACAAGCTCAACATCAACAAATGACGACATGGACAAGCTAAATGTTCCCGTTTCTCCAGCATATCAACACTTTAACATCAACAAGCTCGACATCGAAAAATGTCGACATAGACAAGCTAAATGTTCCCATTTCTCTGGCATATCAACACTTCGGCATGGAATAATATTTCTCATATGCCTGTCCGTCTCACATCGAAGCCCATTATTATCGGGTTCGACGTGGACAAGTCAGATGTTTCCGTTTCTCATGCCAGTCCATCTCATGTCGAAGCAATGGGTTCCACATGGACAAGCTAAATGTTTGTGTTTTCTCCAGTATATCAATACTTTGGCATAGAACGATGCTTCCCATATGCCGGCCTATCTCATGTTGAAGCTATTATGATCGAGCTCGACATGGACAAGCTAAATGTTTTTTGTTTTCTCCGGCATATCAGTACTTCGGCATGGAACAATGCTTCTCACATGCTGGTCCATCACACATCAATCCCATTATATCGGGCTAGACATGGGCAAGCTAAATGTTTCCGTTTTCTCTAGCATATTAACACTTCATCATGGAGGGATACTTTCCATATGCCGGTCCAGTTTATGTCAAAGCCCATTAGGATCGGGCTCAGCATAGACAAGATATATATTCTTGTTTTTGCTCTACCATATCGACACTTTGGCATGGAAGGATGCTTCCTGGACAACCAGTGACACTGTCATGTAAATACAGGTCCCACAATTCTACACCGGTCCCAGTTTCAAGTTGAACACTTCCCATGTCTGAACATGAACTGGAATCTGACTCCTTGAACGAGTCATCCTCCAACATGATGCGATCAATCATCGTCCTCCGTCTCCTTCAGTACACTTCTCCTCATATGCACAGCTCATTTTTCGGTTGGCCACATATCTTCAGTTGTAAATCGAGGAACCGCCTTCTCCAGAAGCCGACCTCATTTCCGATAATTTCATTTGGGAAAGATCACCATCACTTAGCTTGGCATTTATACTAGCTATGCTGAAGCTAATAAAGGATGCTTGCACCACGCCACTTCCTATTAAAGATCTAGGAAGAATGTATCACAGGTACAAGGTACGAGGAAATGATATCGGCCTCAGTGACTATGACATCCTCAGTATTGATAAGAAGGCACGCCTGGTTAAGGTCCAGTGACTTATCAGAGGACGCAAAGGCCAGGATTTAAAATCTTCCATTGGGTGGTACCTGTCTCTTCAGTCTAAAGACTGGTGACACCATGAAAAATTTACACAAAATAACAAAAACAGCTAAATCATATACGAACAAACAGCCCTTTCATCCTTCCAAACTTCAGTCTAGACAATCTCAGTTCTACCCATAGTGGAGGATCACTAATCCAGGAAACTGCAAGTTCGGTTTTCATTTTTAAAACTCTCTTTGGAAATGCATGTTCTGTTCAGCATCATGTCTCACCCTTAATTTCCGCATGTGGGTATGATCAGAGACATATGCAAAACAACATAATTTTCATGAAAGGCATATGAACATGATGAGAATCAAGCCATGAGTAGTGGATATTATTCAGTATAGTGTGAGATCATTTGTTCCTTTTCAGAGTGAAACAGGAGACATAAATTCTTAAGGTGTCCATTAATACTCTTTGCTGTCCATTAATGCACTTTGAAAAGTGTATTAACAGACAACTAATAGTTATTCCTAGAAGCCAAAAAGTGCCAGCCCGTCACATACAGTTTGAAAAGACTCATGGCCTCTACAACTTCAGTGCTACAGCATGCCAGACTCAGCCTCAAGCCACTCCAATCGTGGTACCCTTGGCTGTTTGACCCCGTGGAGGATCACTAATCCAGGAAACTGCAAGTTCGGTTCTGTCACTGTTGGGAAGTACCGACCATCAATGTATTTGCTTTGGGTTTGAGCGCCAAATGCAGGGTCGATTGTTCCTGCGCAGTTGCGGACAAGAACTCCTTTGGGGATGCGTTCATATGAAATTTGGCAGGGATCTGCCATAACTCTTCCCTCCGATACCACTTACTTAACAGTCATCCGTCTCCATCATTCCTAATCAAATGCAATCCTAATTGCTCAGTGGTGACCAAGGCAACCCTAGTTCACCTGTCTGAGATCAATGTTGACAGACATGTTTCAGTTCCCTCTGGTCCCTGACCTCCTGTCATTGAAAGAGGGATGGTCTATTATCTGGATCTATCATCCATGAACTTGACAGTGTGGAGCATAGTCCCACTTTCAAATCTGCACTCGATCGAGCTTGAAAGCCATCAACTCTATGTCTATATGTAAATAAATGGATATCTTTTATTAAATATACAGAAACAAATAACTACCTTACCAGCTGTCTCTGAAAGTGTTGCTACTTTTTTTTACTCCACCTTTTTGAATTTGGCCTATTCCCTTCCACTTTAAAACATTATATATCAGCTATTGTTGCCCATCAACCGGATGATTCTGATCCAGCAGGGCTTTCGTCTCCCCCTACATTCAAAGACTTTCTCAAAGCACTCGATAACGCCTGTCCTCCATGTAAACGCATCGTTCCCCAATGGTTGACAGATCATTCTAAATGCACTAATGCGCCCACCATTCGGGCCCATTTTAGCTTCAAATATGAAATTATTTATCTTCAAATAGCCTTCCTAGTGTCTATCACATCTCCCAAGAGAGCCAGTGAAATGGCTGGCCTGTGATCCGATCCACCCTTTATTCAATTTATCTATGATAAAGTGACTTCATACTTTGATGTCTCATTCCTACCCAAAATCGACTCAGATTTTATATTAATCTATGCTTCATATTACCATCATTCTTCAAATC